TCAGTATGGAAAGATTCTATGATTGTTTTGTCCCATTTCTAAAATTCTTTATTTAGTTTTGGCCCCCAAATTTCACTGCCATATATAATTATTGGTTCTAGTACAAATTGGAAAATTTTAAGCCAGATTTCGATTGGAATATATTGGTTTCTTTTTATTGCAGAGAAAGCTCTCCTTGCTTTGTCCCTCAGATCTTTCACAGCCAGGTTGAGGTGTATGTAATGTTGAGGCCAAGGTAAGTTAGTTCTATCTTGTAATTTAGTGGTGTCTAAATGTGCACGGCCCAGGACCGGAGGGCTCTGCAGCCGGTGATTAAAACTGCTCAGAAGATCATTGGGACCATCTCCTGAGCATCAGTGATATCTGTGAGGTGCCTATGCAGAGCCCAAAGTATACTAAAGGACAGTACCCATCCAGCCACGGCCTGTTCACCCTGCTGCATTCTGGGAAGAAAGATTTCTTCTGCCGCACCACCAGACTGCAGAGCAGCTTTTCCCCCCAAGCTATCAGACTCTTAAACTGTAATTCATCCTCTGCACTGCTCCACTGATGATAGTTTAGTTCTGTTTACCATTTTTCATAATTGATTCTGTATTAATGTATATTGTCTGCTGTGTAGCAGAAGGGAGTTACAAAACTCAATTTCATTCTATAACTTGTGATATTGTGACAGTAAACCTACCTACCTACCTAATGACACAATGCGTGACAGTTGGCCAAAAACGACCCTCCCTAAACCACCCTCAGGATGATATCTGGTCTTGGAAAAAAAGGACTGCAATTAAGAGTCAAATGTACATGAACTGATATGCCATGTTTAATTAATGTTATAGGAACAATGTCAAGTTTTATGTTGCCATTCTGATTTTTATACAGGACCAACAGAAACAGTGCTTATAGGAAATGTATATACATTTAATCTGGAAAATATATCCAGTGTTTAGACTTACAGTATAATGAAGTAAATGTGTACATGTCTAACCAGAAAATGGATCATAGCTTGCAGTAAGACAAAATGTGAGTTGAAATGCTAACTCTGCCTGATGCGCACACACACAGGTGTCACTGGTGCTTTGGAAAGCACTCCAGTCAGTTTGACGCTTTTGAAAGTTTTACAGCTAAACTCTGTGATTGTCACATAGTGGGATAAGTAGAGGAGGATTATAGCAAAATATGGCAATGTACAAGAAAGACATAGTAAGTATGAAGACATTTCTCCCTCATACCAAGAATTTATGTAATAAAAATGATATTCTAGTTTAATGATTAAGTCACTCTCCAATCACAACACATTGCGACTCAGATAATGTCACATACATATCCACCATGAAGCTTAAATACATGAGCCCACAGTGGCACTGGGACTAAACCACACCAAATTCATGATCTAGGCTTTTTGCACAGTAACATCTATACTTAGCACTACTGAAGTGCAGCACTTCGGTAAAAAGAAAAAGTATACTGGTTTAATAATAACACGCAGACTTCTTGGACTTTTATAGCGCATATGAGACTAAAACTATTAATATCAGCAATGTGTGGTGGTGCTTTAGCCCCAGTCTTATGGGACTGAGATGTTTTTCAAGCCAACAGATGTCGCTGTGTTTGCTGAGTAAATGTTCTTCATTTACTTGGCATGTTGGCAGCAGAAACTTCTATCACTTCCCAGAAGTCAGCAGGGTGAACAGGCTGTGGTTGGGTGGGTACATTCCTTTAATATCCTTTGGGCTCTGCGTAGGCACCTCACCTCAATTATGCTGTTTATGCAAAATTCCTACCCTACACCTTAAATAGTAACAGCAGACAACTTTTGCCTCTTTTTAGGTAGCAGGAGTGAACATCATCCTCAACATTTGTTGTGTTATGGTTTCACAATGATGACAGTTGGAGAACAATTAAGTACAAAATAGAATGTAGGTTCTACAGGATTTTTATTCCTGGGCATCCATCTTGTTTTTCTCAAATGATGTACATGTTTTTAGGCATATTATTATCTCAAACAGCTGTTGTAAATGGGTAAACATCACCCCGATAACATTTTACTGAACCAACTTCGAAAAATCACGCTTTCAAATCTCCTTCAACGCCACAGATTACATAAAGACTGTTAAATATATTTTACAAATAAATAATACATTTTACCAATTCTTCAATAGGTTAGTTCACCATTGTCATTGCATCTGCTTCCTACTGTCTTCCTCTATCACAGGCACACATTTGGTAACATTGTACTGTACAAACCTGGGGAAATCTCCCTTCAAAATCCACACAAAGTTACATTTCTCTGAACTTTGACCTTTCACCAAATCAATTCCTCAACAGGTTAGTTCATCGTTGTTTTGGCATCTGCTTCCTAATGTCGCCCTCTGTCACTGGCTAGTACCACTCAGGCTGCCGTCACTAGCTTTAACTGCGCATCATGTAATAAGGCTCAACATGCCCTCTCACTTTCACATCTGTGAGACGAAGGACGCTGCCCCGAATTCCTTTGTGTGGACAAATGAATATTGACTCCTTATAAACTCGCCTATTACCTTGTTTTAATTAAATAAATCTTTAAGTTACTTAGTAGGTCTTTCCACGTTAATTTGAGTAGTTATATTACCATGTTGTTGCTGTTGAAAAGAAGAATCCATAAAGTTAATTTGCAGTGTTCTAATCTTCCTCAATACTCACTGATGTTCCTTTAATTTACGTTATACTAATGCCATGCTTCAAAACCTTTTTATATATTTTCTTCTTAAAGAACATGTAACAGAAATATTATCGTGTTTAATAATTTATTTCCCCAGCTCCTGAGCAAATGATTGTTTTAAAGAAATAATCAAAGTTGTCTCAGCCTCCTCTCACGGGACCAGCGGTCCCCCCAGAGGACAAAAGGAGTATTACTTATACTGCGTCTCCCGCGGTTTAATGTATCACTCTGTATTTTATTGAGTACAATCTGATGCCATGTTCGTGCAGCTTGCTTATATATTCTCTAAGTAAGAAAGGTTAACTGCCAATATTTTCCAGGAAATGTTTAGTTAAGTTTCTTCATCAGCTGTAAACTGGAAATATGTGTTTAACCGAACCATTCTAATCCTTACGAAGGTTAATTGTTTTCCCTCCTTTTATCAAATGCTTAAACTAAGAACAGTTTATGACAGCAACGTACTAAGAAGTCCGGCCCGGTGAGTTTTCTTTGTCTCACAGTAACTTACTCAGCCTATGTCCGCGAGGTCTGGAAGTTAATTATTTTCTTTTGTTTGTTTGTAAAGGTATCAGACCGTTTTAAGTCACGCAATTTTTAATTCAGAAACAGCCAAGTTTCTTTTTAAGCTTTATTTCCGTCGAATCAACTAACCTCACTCCTCCCCACGACAACGAAGCCCGGGAGGCCAGCCACGTGGGTTAGTTGCGCCATCAGCCCAAAGGACATCAAAACCCACGAACCGAGCCAAAGTTAACAGCCATCACTGCAAGTTTTCTTCAACTAAATAACCAGCCGAAGGGTGGACCATCAGCCTTAATCCTTTAGCTAAACCTCCTAGCCAAATTTAACTGAGGTATTGCCATAACTTGCGTTTATTGGTTCTCTTGCCTCTTTAGACTCAAATCTTTTCCACAATAGACATCATTCTGATTGTTTGCATTCTGTCTGTTTAGTCATCGTTTATTTCTTTGATGTATATTTAACCGCATTTATATCAACCTTTAGTTAGTTCTAATAAATTTCACTGTAATCACAGGAACTGTGTGTGTATTGTTTAACTCCAGGTCACTGTAATGGAGGATTTACGCCTTTGATATGAGATTGACTTATTGATTAGATTAATTTAAGATAATTAAGCAATTACTACTAACTGATCACTAGGAAATAATTGTATAATTATTAAGCTATACTTAAGGTTCCTAAAGCCTTGGGCGAACAGCAAATCTTTAGGTGGTGGCCCGAAAAATGAGAGATGAATTGTTATTAATAAATCTGAATATTAATATTCATAATTTTTATCAACAGTAAAGTAGCTATGCTACACTTTTTTTTTTTACTACATTGACAACAATGCAATTGCATGTGTTAAACTTCACAGACTTTACACATCAAAGTGTGTTTCCAGGTGTTGGGGAGTAGTACTGCATATGTGAAACAAGTTGTATAAAGCCTTGTGTGTCTCCAGAGGGAGCTGTGTGAAGTCTACTAAAATGCTTCAGGAGATGTCACTTTCAAACAGATTTCAGGAACCCACTTCTCATCTCAGTATGAGGTTACCACCTTGAGGCTATATTCCAGGCCAGTACATAACACCCAAATCTCCAAACCAACTGTCTGCAGTTGGATTGCATTATGGGTAATGTAGATGCAAGATTCTGATGAGGAAGAAGAACGTGTGAAATAATGAAAGCTGATATATCTGGTTCTGCTGCATTGATTTTTCTCTTTGTTTTATAAACAGTCCATCGTGAATCTGACAATGATTCATCAGTAAACCATGCAGGAGAAGGAATTCAACACTAAATCTGCAGACTACTCTTTTCTTTTAAGGAATATCTTATGATACGATCAAGAACTCCAGAACAGCTACTAAATGGACCTTGTTATGAGATTGTTTTGTCAATAGACAAGCTGTTCTGTTTTCATTTGTCCCACTGTAGCCCTGGTGTAAACTTTCAAAACAAAGTTTTTATGCTGCTGTTCACCCTGCTAGGTTAACCATCATCTGATTTAACATGTTCTAATAAATCCTGAAATATTTCCTGGAATATCCATGTAGAGTTAGCTTTTAAGACTGGCGTACAATTTCTAGGACCGATGGGAATCCTGGTCGCTCTGTTAGAACAGATGTTTATTTGCTAGCTTGTGCATCTGCAACAGGAGATTTGAAGTGCTTTGGTGATACGCAGGAGATTCATTATGTGACTTGACAATATTGTGGTGACTTCTGATAGTACACTGACTTCATTCAGCACACAGTGTCTGAAACAACACACCCTATCTGAGATAAGTAAGAGCAAAGGCGTTAATAGAAAGATTATTTTATTCATTAAATACTGCTTCTACATGGTCATTGGATGATGACAAAGGCAAATGTGAGACATGAGGTGAATTCAAACTTCAGAGGCACATAAGAAAAGCATAACTGGAAAAGAACTTTTCATACACAGAGTAAAGTTTAAAGCTGCACTGAGAATCTGAACACATCAGCATGTTATGATGCAATTTAAGGACTGGTTCATAAAACTCCCCGAATGACACAGCAGCAAACAACACAACATGCTCAGGAAATTTAAATTGTTTTAGTCGTCTCTTTCAGTAGGTATGGGACCAACTTTATGATCAACATGAAGAGCTTTAAATGTGTAAAGTACATATAATATACATATATAAGTACATATACAGTTCTGACTAGCTTTGATATCTAAGCTCCCTGTGAGTACAGTTCCAAAGGGCAAAATCTGTCAGATATTAAAGATACGGTCATGATTTATAGGTTTGTTACAGTGTTCCTGCATATTTAACATATATTCTACATATAATTTAGTAATGGTGATCATTTTTGGTTGTTATTGGTGCTGCAATCACACTGTAGCTGAAGATTATGCAAAAATATATAAAACAATAATGAGCTAGTTTTCACTTGAACAATGAAAGGCATTTGCGTTTCTCAGTCAGCTGTATCTGGCACATGTGGAGAGCACAGTGTAAATGTAATAGCCAGGACTCTTCCCACAGGGTTTTAGATCAGTCCCAAGTGTCGGTTTCCAACCATATTAGCCATAAAGAAGCGTGATGAAACAAAGTGGAATACTAAAAGAAAAACTCTGTACATGTACAGTTAATGTGTGATCAGCTTATATAGATTACACATTTCATTTATATCAAAAAACCATACCAGTCATACCAGTGCTAAGAGGCCCCTTTTGCTCTCAGCTTGGACAGCAGCATCTCGTTCTTCCGACATTCCTGGTGACAAAAAAACAGAAACATCTCATCCAGGGATGCTTTACTAAACTATTTAGGTAGTAATAAAGAAGAACAATGTTTCTCTCTCACCGTAACAGAATACATCTGACTCACGCGCATGTACAGTATGTGTATGTAAATTTATCTATAGAATAAACTTACTTAAAAGTATGCTTAACAAATAATACTAAAATGTACCTAATTAAAGAACATATCTGTACTCCACTATGGAAAAGATGGAATGCCGATACGCACGCCAACATGTGAAACACGTGAATGAGAAGTAATGGTCAAAGTGCTGAAAAATGGATACTGGTAACCCTGGAGTGCAGGTTTGGTGGGCCCAGACTGCAACGGACACAAAATATTAATATCAAGAAAGTCCCTAGTTTTATGTATAGGGTATGGTTGTAACACTTTTTAAAGACGTGTTACAACCCACCCCACCCCTATCAGCCACTGTTTAGTTAGCTGTATTAGCATAGTGGTTTGAAATTAGGAAGGAAAAAATGCATGTTGGTGGTTGTTGTCAGGCATCACATGTTGCCTGAGAAACTATATTTCAATCTAATATAAGTCAAACAATTCTATCTGCAGCAGTATAGATACTAAACAAAATATAGTCTTGGTCAAAAAAAAATACTACCTCAAAATCTGTTTTTCCTCTATATATTCTGAATGTGCCTGTTTCCAGACTTGAGAACCACCAGGCCCGAGGAAGTAGGTACATACTGAAATGATCACCTAACTGCTATCTTATTTCTTATTGGTGGAATTGGTGTTGTTACAACTCTCCCCATACATCAGCATGTCTGATATGGACCGACTTTATCTTATCACATTCTGTATCTGTACTGATATATATGTCAGCTGTTAAGTGACGAAGTAAGAAGGTGCGAGACAGATATGTTGCAGGTAGTTCAGAAAGATTGTCTCCATCACAATTTTACAAGTTTACGGTTAAAAAACACAGCGGTCTAAAAAATAGCTTTGGTGTGGTTTTGAACTATAGGACAAAACCACAAGTAACTCACTGAACCATTTTTTAAAATACATATATTGTATTTGATTTTTTGCACCTGTTTCAAACATGAAACCTTTTGGTTATTTTTGAGAAACTTGGTAAATATGTCACTGCAGATATTTGCGTAGCTCTGGTTGTCACATTCATCACATAAACAAGGACTCATTTTATACTGACTACCTACCAACACCTCTCAGCTGTTAAGTAACCTAAGAAGTGTCCTTTAATTCATCCATAACTAATGAAGCACAAGCTGATACTTCATTGTTTTTCTCACCTCTTTAAAGTCCTTTACAGTTTTGAAGTAGAGCCTCTGCTTGTCGAGCAGCTCCAGGTACTCATCATTCAGCTGATCTCTCCTCATCTTGTTCTCCTGCTTCTTCTTCTCCATCTGGAAAAGCAGATGTGCAGGAAGCAGGTGTCACATAATTGCTTCAGCAGTTTTTGTTGAAATACTGTTAAACTTGGCCCCTGGATAATTCTTTTTCATGCTGAAACATCATTGGCTGCTCGTGTTTGTTCCCAGATCTCAACAATCAACTTGGTGAGTCCTGTTTTCTGAAAATAAAAGCCAGGTCGTAAATAGTGGAAAAATCCTGAGACCTATACCTTGATGCGATTCTGTTTGATTCCCTCCACTATTTGCTCCATCTGTCTGAGGAACTGCTCTTTGGCTGTTGAAGACGACATGGCCCTGGACAACAGTACAGCAGTTTTTACAACAGAGCTTTTTCACTGAACAAAACTAAGATACATACTGGGTGACAGGAAAACTCAAATACATCAGCGTTTCATATTACAAACATACAACAGACGAGTGTATTTTTATACTTACTGCTGGAAGTTGTCGTGTATAGAATTCAGCAGATTCACCTACAGAAATGAAAGCACATTTCTTTCTCATTAATATTAAGAATATATATTTGTCTGCTGGTGGCTTTCACCATTTACTAGTTCAATGTGTTAACTATAACAATCAAACTGGACAGATTTGCTAAAATTACAAACAAAGCTAAATTCAAAATTCTACCACAACATGGCATTATACTGTCAATTGCTTCCTGTGTTGCTAACAGCTGGCTGCTGTGGATTCTTACCTCCTTCTCCAGATAAACCTTCTTGTCGTCTAACGTGTTGTACAGAGTGAAGAACTGCTTGGTCTCTTTGTGTGTTGCAGAAACTGACAGGCACAAGAATGAGAAAATATTTAATGTCTTTGTTTCTACTTTTTGAGACATTTCTGCTTGGAGAATGGCACGTTGACTGTTTTCTGAATGGATTTTACTGTAGGTTTGAGAAGCCCACAGTCACACCTCTCTCCCACTCTGAGTCCCCCCTACAGTTTGCCTACAGGGCTAACAGAATATAGAAATAACACCATCATCCCGGACATCCTCATCACCAAACTCACCCAGCTCACTGTGCCAGCCTCCACCTGTCAGTGGATCACAGACTTCTTGACTGACAGGAGACGGCAAGTGAGGCTGGGAAACCCGGACTATCTGCACTGACGCCCCCCAGGGGTGTTTGCTCTCCCCACTGTTCATCTCCCTCTACACCAACGACTGCACATCAGGAGACCCATCTGTCAAACTCCTGACGTTTGTGGATGATACAACGGTCATCGGCCTCATCCGGGACGGTGATGAGTCGGCCTACAGACGAGAGGTTGATCAGCTGGCTCTCTGGTGCGGTCAGAACAACCTGGAGCTTAACACGCTCAAAACTGTGACCGTGGACTTCAGGAGGAGCCCCCCCACTCTGCCCCCCATCACCATACTCAACAGCCCTGTGTCTGCTGTGGAATCCTTCAGGTTTCTGGGATCCACTATATTCCAGCAGACTACAACGGACAGTCAGGACTGCAGAAAAGACCATCGGTGCCAACCTGCCCTCCATTCAGGACTTATACATTTCCAGAGTCAGGAAACAGGCAGGAAACATCACTGCAGATCCATCTCACCCCGGACAAAACCTGTTCCAACTTCTCCCCTCTGGAAGGCGCTATAGAGCACTGTACGCCAAAACCAACAGACTCAGGAACAGTTTCTTCCCACAAGCCATCACTCTGATGAACAGCTGACTTCTGACTCACAGTGTCAGGAACAATTCCTGTGCAATAACCCAGTAACTCTGTCTCTAATCAGCCACGTGCAATGTACGATCCAGAGTCAAATTCCTTGTATGTGTACACATACCTGGCAAATAAAGCTGATTCTGATTCTGAGCACAAAACTTGGTTAGACCAGATATGGAGGAGGAACCCACCTTGACTGTATAGTTCGATGAATCTCTTCTGGTACTGGGTCAGCTCTGCCCTGCTCGGCACCTCGTCTATCTTCCTCTGCAGGATGGCGATCTCACGATTCCTCCGAGCCTACACAGAGTGAAGGAAAGTCCTGACTAATTCAGCTCAAAGAGGAGAATTCCCTCATCCTTGTAACTGATTTATAAAGTAGAGTTCTATTGCTTTTTACATTTCATGTGCCACACAATAGTAGCACATGAAATGTTAATATGCCTGCCGATCCTCCACAACATTAATAAATTGGTCACAAAATGTTTTATATCAGTTATAATGTAGAATCAGCTAGTGAAATAATCTGGAATGCCTGCAATTCAGTCTATTTTTTTTGCAGACTGTTAATATCAATATTCTGTTTAAGCCTGCCAAATTCCAATATTCTGTTTTAACGATGGCAACAAAAAGTACTTACAAATCCCAAACAAAGAATGAATGCATCCTGCTAACAAAGTACTTTGTATATCACAGCCGGATGTCTCCTCTTGCTCTGAGCCATGGATCCAACTATTAAACATATTCAGGGCTCTAGAGTATGTCACTGCCCCAAACACCCACTAGTGCATTCATCCGCCGCTGAAAATAGTCCCCAACAAATGTAAAAATATGTAGAAATATATACAATAGAATAATGCTTATATCAATATTTGAAGTACTCATTTTCACAGTGTTACACACACACACACAGACTGTATCTATGGTGGCCACTAGTGGAAGAGGCCCAGCTCGTCCTGAGTGACAGCCAGTTAGCTTGCCAGCAGCACCAGCACAAAGCTTGTGCATTAGACGCAAGCTTTTGTATTGAAACTCAGTATATTTTTGTTTGCTTGCTGGGATCCAGAAGAGTAGGTTTTTGTTGAGATATCTTGTGGAGATTCAGTTCAAATCTCCACAAGATATAAGGACTCATTAGGGGTTAAACTGTGTTGTGTATTGAGCACTGACTGTATAATAACTATGGTGAACTTTGTGTTTCTTGTCATCAGTCAGAACCTTTGAAATACCTGGTTGTTAGTGTTTGTTTAGTAAGGCAGAGTGGTTGTCATGTACTGAAAGACATGGATACTTTGTATTGTAATGTTTTTGTGTAATAATATACATATATCATATATATACATATATAATAAACATTTACATTTAATGATGCTTAAATGTGCTGAATGTTATTGCTTCACTTTGCGCATAGGCTATATTTCAAAGTGTGGCAGACAAAAAAACCCATAGACTTGCCTGGCAGGCAGTGAAAATTAAGTTAATTTCAGTGTCAGCAACATTTCAAAATGCCCCTGCAAAAATACAGTTAAAACCTCGTTGCATTCTCGTGAACCCAATATCGTGTCTCGTCTCATGAGCTAAGTGTATCATCACACCCCTACTGATAATACACTTAGTGTTAGAGGCGGAACATAACTAAATTAATATCCTTATTTTGGTTTCAGGGGACAGTTTTAATGTGTCTTTATGGTCCAAATCATGTCTGTCTTGCTTTCCCTTGCAGACAAGGTGACAATTCTGCTGTTAACAGAATTCTTTGTCAGATATAACATAGTAAACAAAGAACAAACAACAGCATTAATACAGTGACATTCATCTTTTCACCTGCTACTGAGAATAACCAGCAAAGCTCATCTGCAAACAGAACATTATACCATGAATAGACTGTTTATTTGTTGTATTACTTTCAGTACTCAGTACTTTGTCTCATTCTAATCACTAGTCTGTTATCTGCTGCTGTGACCTAATTGCCTACAGAGTTAACTCCAGGTCCATCTAATCTTGTGTTATGTTATATGAAGTCATTACCATGAGCAGACGGATCTTCTGCAGTTTCTCTCTGTCTGTGTTGTACTGTTTGTCTATCAGCTGGTTCCTCTCCTGAGAGAGAAAAAGAGTACAGTTAAAACAAACAGGAAGAGAATGCTACTCAGTCTTCATTAACTGTTGTTTTATGTCTAATAAATAAGCTGTGTTAGATTCTAACTGGACGTGTACCTTTTCTTCCTCTGTATCCTGTCCTGATGTGCTCTTCATTTCCTCAATGTTCTGCTGCAAGCGAGCCATCTCTTCCTGAACATAACATTCACACATGAAAAAGAATATTGGCACCAATTTACTGTCAAGTAGGAACTCATCATGCTTACATCATGTTTTCTGTATGAACACCAGGCAGCATTTACAGGATGTAGAATCTCAATACATGTGTGAGTGCTGATGTACTGACTCTGCAGTGTGTGCGGAACTCCTGCTCCTGCTGCTTCAGGTTCTCATTCATTGTCACCAGAGCCCTCAGCTTCTCCAGCAAGCTGTTCAACAGAACAAAACATTCTTAGATAGACTGTGCCATCAATCGAAGACCACAGGTTTCACCCCTGTAACAGCCTGTATGCGTATGTCCAAAACTGCCCAAGTGTCCATGAGCACGATGGCGAGTGTCTCAAAGGGCAGAGCTCTTGGCCTCATCCCAGCACTTCAGACAGATTTGGATTTTTGGATTGCAGCATGCATATATCCAACTCAGCCTTGAAAATATCCCTTCAGAAACATACCATGATTCCACTGACACTAAACTTAGCTTTTTCAGTCATTAGCTCCTTTCAGACATGCATCCCTTATGTTAATCTACAGGCACTTTAACATGTTGATCTCATGTTTGAATAAGCACCAGTCAATCTTACCAGCTGGAACTAGTAACATTTTCGTAGCACTTTCATCAGGCACAAGTCTGAATCAAGTCCTGTCATGTGAATGTGAGTCAGTGATGTCAGCAGCACAAGGTTAAACATGCAGATAGCAAGAGATAAAATGCACATCTTGTAACGCATTCTAAGATCACTCTAATAAATAACAATTTATTCAGTTATTATTGCAAGCTATAAGAAACAGCAAAAAGAATGTAAGGTCTTTGGAAGAAGCTAGCTCTGTATCTTCAGTATGGATATCAGGACAGATGCCGAGCTGGCCTTCTTTCTGTTGGACTAGTGAGTAATAACGTATTAGCTGCTTGCTGTGTCTTGCGTGTGTTGTTGTGCTTGACTGATGTTTGGCTGTGTTAGAAAAGTTGTAGACTCGAGCAAAAATCTGCCAGAAACAGCTATAAATAGCAAACTTACTAGATAATACACTCGTTAATGTTACTGTAAGTGCTCCTGCGTCGGTTGCTGCCTAGCTTTGTTGGCTAGCTTGTTGCCAAAGTTTCAATCAACATTACGCTGCCGCTGGTAGAGAGCCCGGCTCCAGCTCGACACCAGTGCCGGGCAAGCAGGCAACATAACCGGGCTCAGCAGCCTCTAGGATGCCGAGATGGCCTTCTTTCTGTTGGACCTTTAAGTCGGGTTGAGTATCGTTTCAATTTTATGGATTGTGATTCCACTTATCAGCCTTTTCCAGGGCAGCTCCCAGGCTCTGGAACTCCCTCCCCCATAAAATCCGCACCTCTGAGTCCCTCACCATTTTCCAGTCCCCTTTTTTTTACGTTTCTTTATCTGCTCTGTAAAGCGACTTTGAGTTCGTGAAAAGCGCTATACAAATTCAATTTATTATTATTTATTATTATCGAATCTTGGTTCAGATTCCAATATTCTAAGCTATAATAAATAAACTGTCTACTGTGATAGGAAGGTTTCTTTTTCCCTTAATTTATATAAAAAATTAGGGCTGTCAAAAATAGCGCGTTAATGACGTTAATTCGTTGTTTGTCGTTAATTACGTCAATTTTTTTAACGCATTTCACGCATGCGCAGTGTGACAAATTATTCAGGTCAGGAAAGTGGTTGGGACGGGAGGCTAGAGGCGAGATGGAGCAAGGTGAGCAAAGTGGGCCTATTGACGGATTCAAATATAAAAAGAATGATGATGGTACAGTTAACAAGTACAAGGTTATTTGCAAGATTTGTAACAAGGAGTTTCAATTTCACCGGAGCTGTTCAAGCTTGAGGTACCATGTCAATGCCAAACATGCGTTTGCTGGGTCGTCAGGTTCAGCAAGTGGTTCGCGCCAGACCACGCTGAATTTTCGCGGGCCATTAACAAAATCAACCTCAGATAATTTGACCAACAAAATAGCAAAATGGATTGCAAAGGATTGTAGACCCGTTAGTATTGTAGAAGACTCAGGTTTCATTGATGTTTTGCAAGTGGCGTCTCAAGACTCATCCTATAGGCCACCGTCAAGAGCCACAGTTATGACGAAAATCCACGAGCTCTATCAAAACGAAAAAGAAAAAAGGAAAGAGGTCTTGGCTCAAGTAAATCATATCGCCCTGACAGGAGACCATTGGACATCAGTGAATAACAACAATTATTAACAATTATTTGGCTGTGTTAATAAACAGACATAATATGAAAATTATGTATCTGTGTCTTTTTATTTATCTTTTGGTATGCATTTCAGAAAAAAAAAATGGTTAGGATTCAGGTGTAATTGCAAATAGTGATTAATCATGATTAATCCACTGAAAATTCTGATTAATTTGATTAAAAATTTTAATCATTTGACAGCCCTATAAAAAATATATTACTCTCATAAGGAATGATGAGAAGATGTTTGTGATGTGCTATGACTCAGGAAAACGGAGGAGACTCAACCATAAGGATGTTACCATGTAACCACAAATCTGGTCTTCATCCGCTTCCTCCTTAGGGCTCAACAATAAAAAGCTTTTATTTATACGGTGTTATTGGGCACATTGCATTATTTAAACATTGTTTGTTGGTATTATAGCAACACAGAAATGTGAACTTTGATGAGAGTCCTGATGTCCTCACTACAACACAATCGTCCTTAATAAATGAATAGGTTTTAGCCTCCTAATACTTGTGCCTTTAAGTAAAATTAACATTAATCATTGGTTTGTTTGTATTAGAAACTACTTATATCCACTGCTATATAATTCTTTGAAGACAAGCAGGCAGCTTTTGGGGATGAAGGAGGAAACATCCACTGAGGACTGACACAAATCACAGAGGGTGCTGTGTTGTGTCATGAGGATTAAATGACAACAAGAAGTCAGAGATAATTACTCTCCACCACTCACCTGCTGTCAGCCTGCAGCTCTATCTCTTCTAAAGACATCAGCTCTTTCTCCAGTTTCTCTGAGTGCTCTGTAGCCTGGGAAGATACACAAATCACTGCTGCAAGCAACATTTTAAATTTTATTTTTTTCAAAAACTCAGTTTCCGTAATAATAATAATAATAATAATAATAATAATAATAAATATATATCTATCTATCAGGTAGTAAAAATAATTCAGCTACCTTTTTTCACACAGACTTATTAACTGTTCCATATGCCTGCCAATATAATGCATCCAATCAATGAGTTTTGCAGGTATTTTAGCCTGGTCTTACCTCCATCAGTTTTTTCTTGGCCTCGTCACAGCCTGTTTTCACCTCTTCATGCTTTGCTTGTAACTGTGAAACAATTTATATATATTTGTTACTGATAGTCACTGCTGTAAATCATAGTACACTTAATTTTTTACAAACATTCAACTGCTCCAGCTCCAATTAAGGTGTCCATTTTGTGTCCTAGCAGGCAAATGATTGCTGACTGTTTAAAGTACAAAAGGTACTATATGTATTGTCTACTCAATGTTACATGTTGGTTTCTGCAATGCCAAAAATAAATTCCTCTAAGAATTTTACACAGTGACTGCTTGACACAGTGGAGGACACCACATGGTTACGGTGGACTGTACAGTGGACCACAGTGAACTGCTGACCTCCTCCAGTTGTTTAGTCTTTTGCTGGATCTGTTTGTTGAGTGAGACCATCGCCCTGCGATGTTGCTGGAGAGGACCGTAGCGCTCTAAACGCTCCTCCAACGACAACTCAGACTGCTGCAGGAACATATAGGAGGTACAGTATATTACAACATGGAAATGTTAATAGAAAAGCATTTTCTATCTATTAAACTTTTTTGCAGGTACTGGTTAGCTACAATCTGCTTGAATAGGTGTGTTGTATTTGTAAAGGCCTCTACAAATGTCTAAAGTAGTAAAATACACCTTGGGTTTATACCTCTCCATGTTATGGGTCATTAACTTGCTGCAACAAAAAATGCATCAAATAAAGAAAAAAGGAAGCTCTTTTCATTGTTATTCTAAGTGCTCAGTTTAGCTGAGATCGGGGTGCAGTGTTTCTAAATTCTTACTTTAACTAGTATCAGCCAAGACAATTATCATTATTATGGTGGGAATCGCCTACGTTCACACTGCAGGCCTTTATGCCTAATACCGATGTTTTTGTTTAACAGTTGACATTTTTGTTTAAATGTGGCCCATATCGGACACATGCGCAGAAGAATAAAACAACGCAGCATGCAGCTGTAATGTTTCCGATCAGATAAGTAGCATGCACACAACTCAGAAGAGAGCTCGTGACCCGGATTTCAGGTGTAAGAAATGGAATTTGTGAGCAGATGATAGCAAGGTAGGAAGAAGTATGTAATGGCCTTTGTGAGCTTTTTTGTTCATTGCGACTCAGTCTGGCGGGGAACAGCTGCTCTAGAGTGACGTCCGAGTCGCCAGCCTGAGGTCGCATTCCAAAAAATACGATCTGTATCTGTGGAAAAGATTAGATTCCATGTGACTTGGGCTGCACACAGCAAAAAAAAATATTTGGGTTACTTTGGCCTGCAGTCTGACTACAGCCAAAAAAAACACAGTGATTAAATTAACATCTTGAAACATTTTCAAAGTACCCTTGAAACCTGGGTTAAATTAATAGGTAAAAGTACCTTTTAACTGTATTTTTATTATTTTTTACAGAAATAAAACAACAGACAGGGCCATCACAGGTGGGGCGAAACACTTGAGTGGTCGAAAAAGTCTAGAAAGGTGCCCACTGTAAATGTCCGTGGGAAACAGTGTACTATAAAGTTATATGGATTAAATGAAGCATCGACGCAAAGAATTTGCGTTTCTCATTTTAGTAATCGATTTAATCACAGTCAGGGATCTTTTTTTCAGGTCTTCCGTCGCCTTCGGTGCACTGTTGTAGATCACAGTGCCGGTGTCGAAACAACTTTCGCCGGGTAAAGGGTCTAGAAACATAACGTTGTTTCTTTAAGTATTTTTCTGATGTTGGAGTAAGCCTTTCTTTTCGTAAGTCGTAGGTTTTGGTTGGGTAGTCTCGGGCCTTGCAGTGGTTTAGGGCCAAGAGACCGGTGACAACGTTGGATACCGAGGGCGATGTCTGGGAGGCACAGCTGTGTCTTATTAAACTTTTCAACAAAATCTTGTATAGTGTCTCCCTCAGCTCCCTCAGGGACCCCATGAATGCAAATGTTATTTCGTTGGGAGCATGCCTCCAGGTCCATTAACTGGTCTTGAATGTTCTTTTGGAGTTGTAATGTGCGGGAGAGCAGATCATTGGTTTCTGCACTCATGTCAGAAACCAGAGTCGCAGTTTAACACACTTCTCTGCCCTTCTTTTTCAGCAGTTACCCACCCAAAACCCTACGCAGAGTCGCAGTCTAACACACTTCTCTGCTCCTCCATTTCAGGAGTTACTTAGTGAAAATCCTATAGTGACGGTGTCTGCCCCCCGACCATCGAAATTATTTAAAAAGGTAAACAGAAGAGGAGCTGTGCATAAAAACCTCATAAAAATTAAAACCACAAGAGCAATAGTGCAAACTAATAGGAGAGTTAAATGTGGACTCTTAAACATCAGATCTCTCTCTTCTAAAGGTGTACTAGTAAATGAACTAATATCAGATTATGATCTTGATTTATTTTGTCTTACTGAAACCTGGCTGGGTGATGGAGAATATGTTAGCCTAAATGAATCCACCCCTCCCAGTCATATTAATACTCACATTCCTCGAGGCACAGGCCGAGGAGGTGGAGTTGCAGCTATCTTCCACTCTAGCCTACTAATCAGCTCTAAACCTAAACTAAACTATAACTCATTTGAAAGTGTTGTTCTTAGTCTTTCGCACCCAAGTTGGAAATCACTGCAACCAATTCTCTTCGTTATAGTGTACCGAGCACCTGGCCCGTATTCTGAATTCTTATCTGAATTTGCAGAGTTTTTGTCAACTTTAGTCCTTAAAACGGACAAAGTTATTATTGTAGGGGATTTTAATATTCATGTGGATGTTGAGAATGACAGCTTCAGTACTACGTTTATCTCTTTGTTAGATTCCATCGGCTTCTCTCAGAGTGTCCATGAACCGACTCACTGTTTTAACCACACCCTCGACCTTGTTTTGGTGTATGGTATTGAAATTGAACATTTAGTGGTGTTCCCACAGAATCCCTCTTTGTCCGACCACTGTTTGATAACTTTTGAGTTTGTATTGCTGAACTACTCGCCATTGGGCAAAAATTTCTATACAAGATGTCTGTCTGATAGTGCTGTAGCTAAATTTAAGGATGCGATTCCATCAGCTCTAAATACATTATCTAGTCACAAAGTAACGGAGGACTCCTATGCTAGTTTCAGTCCCTCCTAAATCGATCATCTTGTTGATAGTGCTGCAGGCTCGCTGCGAATGACACTCGACTCTGTAGCCCCTCTAAAAAAGAAAATACTAAAACAAAGACGGTTAGCTCCATGGTATAATACTGAAACTCGCAAATTAAAGCAAATATCGCGGAAACTTGAGAGGAATTGGCGTTCCACCAAAGTGGAAAATTCTCGTTTAATTTGGCAAGATAGTCTTAAAACTTATAGGAAGGCCCTCCGTAATGCTAGAGCAGCGTACTACTCGTCATTAATAGAGGAAAATAGGAACAACCCAAAGTTTCTTTTCAGCACTGTAGCCAGGCTGACAGAGAGTCACAGCTCTATTGAGCCAAGTATTCCCATAGCTCTCAGTAGTTACGATTTCATGAGCTTCTTTAATGATAAAATTCTAGCTATTAGAGACAAAATTCACCAAGACCTGCCCTCAACTGGCACCGACTTATCTCTTAACTCAGGAACCTTAGAAACAGCTGTAGAACCAGATACATGTTTAGACTGTTTTGCTTCCCTCAATCTTTACCAACTAACTTCAATAATTTCTTCATCTAAACCATCAACCTGCCTCTTAGACCCCATCCCGACTAGGCTGCTTAAAGATGTTTTACCCTTAGTCAGCACCTCTATACTAGATATGATCAATCTATCTCTATCAACAGGCTATGTACCACAGTACTTTAAAGTAGCTGTAATTAAACCTCTTCTGAAAAAGCCCAAACTTGATCCGGATGTTTTAGCCAACTATAGACCTATATCTAACCTTCCATTTCTCTCTAAGGTTCTGGAGAAAGCAGTTGCTAAACAGCTGTGTGACTTTCTAAAGAGCAATAGTTTATTTGAGGATTTTCAGTCAGGTTTTAGAGCTCATCATAGCACATAGACAGCACTGGTGAAAATTACTAATGACCTCCTTATTGCATCAGACAAAGGACTTGTCTCTGTACTGGTTTTATTAGATCTTAGTGCTGCATTTGATACCATTGACCATCAGATCCTATTGCAGAGACTGGAATATTTCATTGGCATTAAAGGAACCGCTCTAAGCTGGTTTAAGTCCTATTTATCAGATCGATTTCAGTTTGTACATGTTAACGATGAGTCCTCCATGCATGCCAAAGTTAGTCATGGAGTTCCTCAAGGATCAGTCCTCGGACCAATCCTCTTCACTTTATATGTGCTTCCTTTAGGCAATATTATCAGGAAACATTCCATAAGCTTTCATTGTTATGCAGATGATACTCAGTTATATCTATCGATCAAGCCAGATGAAACTCATCAGTTAGCTAAACTTCAAATGTGCCTTCAGGATGTTAAAACCTGGATGACCTATAATTTTCTCATTTTTTACTCAGATAAAACTGAAGTTATTGTTCTGGGGCCTAAGCACCTCCGTGACGCATTATCTAAAGATATAGTTTTCCTGGATGGCATCGCCCTGGCCTCCAGCACCACTGTGAGGAATCTTGGAGTTATCTTTGATCAGGACATGTCGTTTAAGTCTCACATTAAGCAAATTTCAAGGACCGCCTTTTTTCACCTACGTAATATTGCGAAAATCAGGAACATCCGGTCTAAAAATGATGCAGAAAAACTAGTCCATGCATTTGTTACTTCTAGGCTGGATTACTGCAATTCCTTATTATCAGGCTGCTCAAAAAAGTCCATTAAGACTCTTCAGCTGATCCAGAATGCTGCAGCACGTGTTCTGACAGGAACCAGGAAAAGAGATCACATTTCTCCTGTTTTAGCTTCTTTGCATTGGCTTCCAGTAAAATCCAGAATAGAATTTAAAATCATTCTTCTTACCTACAAAGCTCTTAATGGTCAGGCACCATCTTATCTTAAAGAGCTCATAGTACCTTACTACCCCACCAGAGCACTGCGCTCCCAGAATGCAGGGTTACTCGTGGTTCCTAGAGTCTCCAAAAGTAGACTAGGAGCCAGAGCGTTCAGCTATCAAGCTCCTCTCCTGTGGAACCAGGTTCCAGTTTGGGTTCAGGAGGCAGACACCATCTCCACATTTAAGAGTAGGCTTAAGACTTTCCTCTTTGATAAAGCTTATAGTTAGGGCTGGCTCAGGTGAGTCCTGAACCATCCCTTAGTTATGCTGCTATAGGCCTAGACTGCCGGGGGATTTCCCATGATGCACTGAGCTCCTCTCTCCTCTACTTTCTCTCCCTCTGTATGCAACCTCATCCCATTATTGCATGTTACTAACACAACTTCTCCCCTTTCTGGTAGTCTTGTGCTTTCTCGTCTCTCTCCTCTCTCCTCCTGTCACTTCCTGCAGGTTTTCTGGCTCTGGAGCTGTGGTTGCGGGTCACCTGCTGCCCCCGTGTTCCTGCTCGACACCCTCTGCTGCAACGACTATTGTTGCTAGTCTTATTGTTATTATTGTTATTATAATCATTAACATTACGATTGTTACCATTAACACTATTATAAATATCTGTACCATTTTTCATTTAGTCTATAGCAACATCACCTTCACTGTCTGTACCTCTGTGTGTATATTGTGTAGGCTGCCTCCCTCCCCCTCTCTCTCTCCTTCACCCCAACCGGTCGAGGCAGATGGCCGCCCACCCTGAGCCATGGTTCTGCTCGAGGTTTCTGCCTCTTAAAAGGAAGTTTTTCCTTGCCTCTGTCGCCTAGTGCTTGCTCTTGGTGGGAACTGTTGGGCTTCTGTAAATATCATCACAGAGTACGGTCTAGACCTGCTCTTTTATGAAAAGCGCTGTGAGATAACTGTTGTTGTGATTTGGCGCTATATAAATAAAATTGAATTGAAAATTGAATTGAATGTCTTGTGCGCTTGCGCCAACGGGCATGCAGCCTGTTGCAGTTGCTCCATCGTTCGTCGTCTTATTTCTAACTTTTAACTTAGCCCCATAATACTGTCGCCTGACGTGCACCTCCTCAAAAATGTAATTACACGTCGAGTCGACGTGGACCGTAAGCACTGACTGGTCGGCTGGGTAGCCTCGCAATGCCTCTGAGCCAACCGGAATTACCCTGTGCTTTGTAGTAACTTTACATAGCGTCCAAAACGGCAGCTGTAACACGTGGATCAACATATTTGTTGCGTCACAACCCGAACGAAATGACTCATTTTACTATCTGAATGTGAGCCATACGGTCGACAACATTTGAAAAGGCTACACCAACTTACATATACAATTTTACCCTAATTCACGGTAGCAGAGCACTAAACCGGAAGTTAGCAGAATGACAGATACACCAACGCACGAGTATAAATGCCTGTCTACGTGCATAGACCACGACGCCAAGGCACCAGTGACCCCTGTTTCCATCCAGGGGGTCCCTGTGGACATTGTGGAGGACTACAAATACCTGGGAGTACACATTGACAATAAACTGGACTCTGCCAAGAACACTGAAGCCCTCTACAGGAAGGGCCAAAGCCATCTCTATTTTCTGAGGAGGCTGAGGTCCTTCAACATCTGCAGGACGATGCTGAGGATGTTTTATGAGTCTGTGGTGGCCAGTGCTATCCTGTTTGCTGTTGCATGCTGGGGCAGCAGGTTGAGGGTAGCGGACGCCAATAGGCTCAACAAACTGATCCGCAAGGCCAATGACGTTGTGGGGGTGGGGCTGGACTCTCTGTCGGTGGTGTCAGAGAGGAGGATGCTGTCTAAGCTACACACCATCTTGGACAATGTCTCCCACCCACTCCGTGACGTGCTGCACAAACACAGGAGCACTTTCAGTGCAAGACTTATTCCCCCAAAATGCACCACAGAGCGAGACAGTTCCTGCCTGTGGCCATCAAACTTTATAACTCCTCCCTCTAAGTGTCTGACACACGGACACTTAGTTAGTTTTAAACTGGACATTATCATCTGTTTTGTGCAATAACATATGCTTAATTACTTAATGTGCAATACTATCGGCTGCAATTCAGCTGCTACTATTTATTCATTATTACTCTTCACCATAACAATTTCTTAGTCATGTAAATACTGTTCCATAACAATTCTTTTAACTATGTAAACATTGTACATATCTACACTCCTTTAGATTTACATTATTTTATATTTTACTTTGATATTTATATTTATATCTCTATACTAGATATCTCTATTCCACTATCTTTATTTATATTTCTTTTGCCTTTTGTGCAATGTGTGCAACTGTGACACAGAATTTCCCCTCGGGGATCAGTAAAGTATTTCTGATACTGATTCCTCCATGTCGGCTACTCTCTTCTTCATTTCCTCCACTCTGTCCGATATTTCTTTTGAGTCATTGATGATGAAGTCTGTTAATTCCCTCTTTAGTGGTCCCATGGTGTTGGTAAATTCCTTTTTTTTAGGTCTGAATGAACTGCCTTTATCTCAATGATGTTAGCTTGAATAGCTTCCATAGCCTCGTTCTCTGCCAATTTGCTAACACAGATGTAGGTATCCTCAGCTTCGCTCGCTGATTTATCGTTTATCCTGCAGGTTTGTTGCAGTTTACCCCTTTCATGCTACCATAAACCTATCTACCGTGATACCAAGTATTTTTTACAAGGGGGAAAATAGACCATCTGGGAGCTCCTTACTTAGGATGCTGCTTGCCTCTGCACCATACCAGAAGTCATCATGGATGTATTCTTGTACTGCAAGTAAGATAAATTTATTTTGAAGGAAGTACTATCACCATTCATATAAACACTTTCTGGAGGTCCTTGACTTTGGCGGCGAAGGAGTCACGAAGGTAATGTCGTTTTCTCCTCCAACAACCCAATGTTAGGCCGGTGTGCTATACGGTTAATTTTACACAGCATGTAGCCATTATAGTAAAAAGTAAGTAAGGCACTGGTGTAGGTAATAACTGCCCTGAAGCTCAAAATCTGTGCAAGTAACAACTTACCTGATTGCAGTCAGTCTGAGCAGAAGCGGAGCAGACTTAAGAGCAAGCAGGGGCTGTTTGAATGCGAGGACAGGGTTTAGAGAAAAGCGGGTTGCCCATTAATCGAAAGATCAGCAGTTCAAGTCTTGGCTCCTACAGGCTGCATGTCGAAGAGTCCTTGGGCAAGACACTGAACCCTGAATTGCCCCTTGTTATTCCACCAGTGTATGAATGTTAGTTTCTGTTTGAGAACTTAGGCTCAGTATATGAATGCGTGTGAATGGTGAACGCAATGTAGGATAAAAGCACTTTGAGTGGTCGCAAAGACTAGAAAGGCGCTACACAAATACAGAGCATTTACATTATAATATCTTAATGTGAAATCCAAAAGTCAGCATGATACCATGAGTCAGCACGATATATCAGCATCTTCAGTGAAGCCTTGTATTGCTTATAGTTGAAATGACTTTCTTAAAGTCTTTCTTTTCATAAAGCAAATATAAAACATAGATTATCACCAGATGATGTATGACATCTTTTGACCAACATCAGTCCCAGTCTACGCTCATTTTTGGAATTTGTGATTTGTAGATCTTGGTTATCTGAAATAAGTCAGCTGATGAGTTGGAAGCAGGAAAAGAGTGAGATTATAATTAGGGCCCGAGCCCGAAAGTGCCAGGGTGCCAATGGTGTCCTAGGCACGAAATGCAAGGAACCTATTGTTTTAGCTCGGATAATTTTTTTTTCTCCCCGATGAACTCATTTTTTAAGGCCTTAGGATACTCGAATCTTCAAGAAGATTTGCAAACACCTCAGGTCTGGTGGGAAATCCAATGTTCTTCAGTGATTGGAGTCGGACGTGGCCAGGGGGCTCAATAGCACCCCTAAACAAACACCATATTTTGGAAAAGTTTCTTTGATCTTCATGAGATGTGGTGGGATTATTGCTCTCACCACATTTCTGCTTTTTTTTAACGAGATTTTGCTTAACAGGAAGTGAGCCATTTTGCACTTCCTGTGTCATTTTCAATTTTTTAAACAGATATTTGAGGCTTTTAAAATGTTCAAAAAGCCACAAAACTTTGCAGCTAGATTCGAACTTGTAATGTTTAGATCTGATGTCATTTTTAAGACTGAGGGTTGCATGTTGGCTCCATAGCACCCCCTAAAGCCTTTTTAGCATATCATATGGCCATGGATAGTCAAACCCTCAGGAGACTTTGCATGCTTGTCAAAACGGTTGTTTTGAATTGGCTGATATGGTTTGGGGGTGTGGTTGTGGCCATTCTGAATTATTTACGAAATTTCAACCCGTTTACACCCTCCGTACTTTAACAAACTCCTCCTAAAGCATTAACCCCATTAACCTCAAATGTGGGTAGCGCCATCTTAACAGCCTTGCGATGTTAAATTGCGAAGCTTTTTTGATTTGTCAAACGGTGGTTCCATGGCGTGCCATTGAATTGATGTTATGGCATGAAAAAGGAAGCTGCATGTAAATGGACTAGACATGGTCAGATATGTCCCAAAATTCACAAGTAAACCTCTTAGAGACCTAAATGTCAATATACGATCATAGTGATATTGGCACTTACTGGCATCTGGAAAGGACACATTTTACAATTTATTTCTTATGCCTCTTTCATATTTTTACCCCACATAGTACCTTAGCGGACAAGAATGTCCATAGTGAGGCATTCATGCTCCTCATAGCAGGTTGACCACATCCATCTCAAAGTTCTTGTCAAATGCTGTTGCCTTGGTGAGTAATTATTCGCAATTAAACAGGAAGCTGTTTTTTGAGAGTTATACCCTAAACCCAACCGGAAGTCAGCAACTTTGAATTGAATAACTGACAACTCAACCAAACTTTGTAAGATATTTTGTACACGTCACCTGTCTGATTTTTGCATCAATAACTCCAGAGCCCTGTCAGCTGGAGTGCAATGCAAGAGTCCCAGCTGTCGCTTCACCTGAGGCACGCAAGGGGGCCCGCTCAACGCTGCTTGCAGCTTTAATTATTATTATTATAATATGGTATATCATTATTTTCACTGTTAGTTGCTCACCTTTTCAGCGTACTCTGAGGCAATCTGTTTGATCTCCTCAGACTGCAATCCCACTATCTGACCCACTGCACTTGCTGTCAGCTTCCCCTGCACGAAGACAAACTCCAGTCAAAACCAGACTTAAGAGTAAAATTCCCATTTAGTTTATTGTATCCATTTAGTTACTCAGTTGACAATGAATGCAGTGGTACAATATACAATACACACACACACGTTTGTAAACTTGTGAACCCAAGCAGGTAGATAAGCAGGGGAGTAATGTGGCGATTCAATTCTGCAGTTCACATGTGCAGAAAAAGTGAACGAGACAGAAAACAGGCATTTGCCTACCTCTTCATTTGCCATGGCAGCCATGCTGGTCATCAGGGTTTTGATTCGCATCTAACAAAAAAGAAAACCACCACCAAATGTTACATCACATTTTAAGGCAGTATGTTCAAGTTTATTTGCAGAGCACAATCTCATCCACAGTGCCTCACAGAGGCTTGACTGTATTTCTAATAGGCCATCTAATTTCCCTTTCCTGTATAATGCACTCACTGTTTAATAGTGCTCACCTCCTCCGCTGCCTGCAGGTCAACTTCCTCTGATACCTCCGCCATCCCAGAGGGCGCTGCTTGACAGCCACTGGCCAGCGAAGCCTTCCTTTCATCCACCTAGAAGGGAGACAGGACATAGAAGCTCGAGAAAAAGAGCAGTAAATGCTGGCCTGATGCAGACATAAAGAGCAACTCTACAATCTAACTTCCACTCTAGGCAAATATTTAGCATTGCACTTCTATAACACTGTCAGGATCACAATGGACCATTTTAAAAGTGTCAAAATCAATGCAGCACAACCAGAGCTATCAAGATATTGCATTCTTCTTCCTTGTAAAAACCTGGCACCTATATTACCCACAATGCAATAGTTCAGAGACTCCTCCGTCATGCTAGAAGCGGCTAATATAGCCTTGAGCTGCAACGGTCAAGCAGAGATGTGGATGGGCTACAGAGGTCCTGTAAGCTCACGTCTTTAAAACGCTCCAGCCCCAGGTTTCTTTCATTTTCTAACTTGTAGTCTTCAGCGCCAACAGATTCCAAATCAAGTGGCACCAATTGAGGACATTCATCAGACTTCACACAGCTCATCCTGGAGTTAAACACGGCTTTATACAACTTTTTCACATATGCAGAACTACTCCCCAACACCTGGAAATACACTCTGATGTGGAAAATCTGTGGAGTTCCCCTTTAACGTCAATTTGTCAGTCTGTGTTCGCATATAGGAGAAACATACAGCAGTGTTTCTTACTGTGTGGGCCTAATATGTCACATTCTGCCTGTGGGCCATGTTTAAGTTTAGCCCTCTGTGAGTTTTTGTTATATCTGATCAGTCAGGTATCTGTTATTTAGTATGTTGTGTTTTAGGGTTCAGTCCGGTCTGTTGTCCTGTGTCCAGTCTGTTAATGTCATTGTGAGCTCTGCCTGTTTGTTATCCGTTTGGTTATTATCATCTGTTTTGTTCAGTTATCTTAGTCTGTGGTTGAGTTTGTCAGTGTCAGTGTCGTCCTTAGCCACTCTGTGTTATTAGTTCGGTCCCTGCCTTGCGTTAAACTCCCCGTTGTCCTGTTTAGTTTAAACTTTAGCAGTTTGTCCATGTTTTCTGTTTGTGGTTTTGGTTCCTGGTCTTGTGTTCTCTGTTTAGTCTTGTGTATTCCCTTGTTCATTTACTGGTTCTGTGTAGCCTTGTTTATTATGTTATTCATCCGCATCTTTAAGTTTACTTAGTATCTGTCTTGTCTCTTAGGTTTAGCTCTGCATCTCAGCCCTGTGTCCTAGTTCTGTGTCTCAGTTCATGTCTTAGTGTGTACTTGTGTGTTCTGGGTTAACTGTCTCTCTGCCTGCCTCGTTAACCTGATCCTGGTCACCTGTGTTGCTCCCTCCAAGCTCCTTAACCCATGTGTGCATATATACTTGTTTGTTTCCTCAGTCTGTGTGCAGTCATTGTAGTGTGTTTCACTCAGTCATGTTCGTGTGGAAGAGTGTTCTGTCAGCCTGTTGGATTTTCCTGTCTACTGCCTGTCAACCTGTTTTTCATTTGGATTAAATACCCTGAATTGTATCACTGCTCCAGTGTCTTGCGTTTGGGCTCATCTCCTCTGCCACCCACAGAACCCTGACATAATAAGTGTAAAGGAGATTAAACGCTCTCTGTAAAACCACTCTCTCAGTAACATATACCTGTTCATTTGTAAAACCAAATCATTGAAACACCTACCTTGTCTGGTTTGGATTGTTTGCTGAATCCATATCGCCTAGAGGGAGGAAAAACAACAACTCTGTGACACAACTAAGGCGTGCATATAAAACCATTCCCCCCAAAAGGGATTTTTCAAACACACAATGCCACATACAACATCAAATGGTAGTTATCTAGCATGACAATAAATAGTCCCTTCAGAGCAGGACTGTCTGAATAAATAAATAACTGTATCAAAGCTGCACCACAGTTTGCATCCATCATGCTCAAAATATGTGAGTACTGTTTGCATTCTCTGACCAACACGTTCAACCACAAAACAGCAGAAAAGAAAGCTGCACACTTTCATTTGGTACTTACACCAGGAAATATGACATTCTAGTACAGAGGGAAAGGGAAATGTTAGACTTAAGCCATGAGATGAATTAAATACAGAAATCGTGATCCTGGACAGTCTGCAGCCAAATATACAAAAAGCTAGATACTTTAAAGAGTTGGTTCATACAAATTACAAAACAATACATTTTCTAGGGCTGCAACTAACAGTTATTATCAATTATTATGCCAATTAAAGCTGCAAGCAGCATTGGGCGGGCCCTCGCACATGTAACGTGTGTGTGTGTGTGTGTGTGAGCCGTGTTGCAGATTCTGGAGCTCTTTGCGACTGAGAATTTGCTTTGGACGCTGCACAAAAGGTATTAATCATCACTTCCTGTGTCCTCTTTGTGGCGCTACACAGCACTTGGTGCTATGACTATAACTGAATATTGGCATGAAGATGTGTTCATGGCATGACTGTTATCAACCACGTCAAGTTTGGTGCAGATGTGAGCATGTACACTGTTACCACAACTTCCTCTTTCATGGCGAATCATCAATTTTAGATGCCACGGCACGGGCACGCCGTTTCATGAAAATTCACCAGTTGTCCAACTTTTAATAATCAGTGTGATTACACTAGACAGCGAAAGTCGGTCAGACTAATTTAAGTTTAAGAGTTCTAAGTTTAGAGCATCACTCCAGGAGTCTTTTTGGTACATCTGGACATGATACACGTGCCACAGAAACGTGCTGCGAGGGCTGCATTCGCAGCCTTCGTTGAAGGTCACTTCCTATTGCCAGTAGGTAGCGCTATGGCTATAAGTGAATGTTGTCTTGTACATGTGTTCAGAGCAAGACTCTAATCAAACGTGTAAAATCTGGTACAGATGTGAGCATGTACAGTCAAGTTACAACTTCCTGTGTCATGGCGAAGAGTTAAAATTTGCCACATACGCCACCGCCACACCGTTGACTGCAAAGTCACGAGTTTTACAACATGGGTTCATCAATGCGTTATGGGTTTTCTGGACAGTTCTGAAGTTTATATGTCCAACCTGCTAGGAGTAGTACATTACAGCATAAAACGTGTTATTTCCTGTTGCCAGCAGGTGGCGCTGTGACTTTGAGTGAGTATTGGCATATGGATGTGTTCAGGGCAGAACTCTTACAGTACATATCAAATCTGATGCAGATGTGAGCATGTAGACTGAAGTAACAACTTCCTATTTCATAACTAATCAACGATTTTTGACGACACGCTACGTGCAAACTGGTCGACTGATAATAACCGTTTGTACAACTTTTAATTGTCAATACATTTAGACTGCACAGCGAATATTTGAAGTCGATCAGACTAATTCCCTAGGAGGAGTTTATTAAAGTAGAAAGTGTGTAAATCGCCAAAAATGGCCGACTTCCTGTTGGGTGCCGGGCATCTAATTACTGTATTGGTCCTAATTTAAGACGACCCTGATTATAAGATGACCTCAAGAGTATTTTTTGGAAAAATAGATAATAAAAGATAATATTTTCATTTGAAAATAATTCAAATAAAAACACATTGAATAAAATAAAACAAGGCAGCCTGTGTTTTTAAACCTCTTAAATAATGAAAATAATTAAAATTTTTTAAATGAAATGGTCACATTTAAATTACCGCTAATTAAGATGTACAAGTAATCACATTTGTAAATAAGTAGGTAGGTTTACTGTCACAATATCACAAGTTATAGAGAAAAATTTAGCTTTGTAACTCCCTTCTGCTACACAGCAGACAACATACATTAATATAAAAACAATTATGAAAAATGGTAAACAGAAATAAACTATCATCAGTGGAGCAGTGCTGAGGATGAATTTGAGCTTAAGAGTCTGATAGCTTGGGGGGAAAGCTGCTCTGCAGTCTGGTGGTGCTGCAGCAGAAACTTCTCTCTCTCTTCCCAGAATGCAGCAGGCTGTGGCTGGGTGGGTACTGTCCTTTAGTATCCTTTGGGCTCTGCAGGCACCTCACCTCACTGATATCACTGATGCTCGGGAGATGGGTACCGATGATCTTCTGTTGATCTTCTGAGTGTTTTAATCACCCGCTGCAGAACTCTCCGGTCCTGGGCCGTGCACATCCCATGTTAGTGATGTTTCCAGTCAGGATGCTTTTTCTTTTGCTCCTCTGTAAAAGCTGACAAGAGCTTGGTGTGGGAATTTGGCCTTCTAATGGTGCTTTCAGACCAAACGCGAATTTAATCCTCACAACGCTTTCCTCGCGTAAGCACAGTTAAGCTTCCTCAAGAAATCCAGTCATTTCTGAGCTTTCTTCACCAGTGTGGAGATGTGAGACGACCATGTCAGGTTCTCTGTGATGCTGATTCCCAGGAACCTGAAACTGTTCACCTGCTCCACCTCAGCTCCACTGATGTAGACAGGAGAGTGTGTCTTTATCTCCTTTTTCCTGAAATCAATGATCAGCTCCTTGGTTTTGCTGACGTTGAGCAGTAGGTTGTTCTCTGAGCACCACTCTACATGGTTTTGAATTTCCTCCCGATATGAAGTCTCATTGTTTGAAATCAGGCCGATGATGGTGGTGTTTGTCTGCAAACTTCACAACAGAGTCTCCATGTCAGGGGATGCAGTCGTGGGTGTCCAGCGTGAACAGCAGGGGGCTGAGCACACAGTGTGAGAAAGTCCAATATCCAGTTGCAGAGTGTTGTGTTTAAACCCAGAGTGCTGAGTTTGTTGATCAGTTTCATGGGGAGATTGTGTTGAATACTGAGCTGAAATCCACAAACAGCATTCTGATGTAGGTGCTGTTTTTCTCAAGGTGTGTGAGGGCTGAGTGGAGGGCAGTGGAGATGGCATCCTCTGTGGATCTGTTAGTTCTGAAAGAATGACTTGTGATATTAAAAGAAAAACATAATATAAATGAAAATAAACCGTCTAATGGTATTTCTAATACCTCTTAAGCTGTCCACCTCAGTGAAAAAAATTTTAGCCACTTTGTTCGACACAATTGCTGTGTCTCTCCATGTTTCAGTGGGACGGTGACAGGCTTCATTTGGGAGGTCAACATGTGCTTTGCCGATATTTGCCGCCCTCGGTTGTTGTGGTGTATATTAACATTTAAAGTGCTAGACCCCGAAAATAAGACGAGGTGAGTTTTTAAGACGAATTTCCAGGGACAAAAAACCTGTATTATATTCGGACCAATACGGTATTTACAGGGATTGGACAATGAAACTGAAACACCTGGTTTTAGACCACAATAATTTATTAGTAAGGTGTAGGGCCTCCTTTTGCGGCCAATACAGCGTCAATTCGTCTTGGGAATGACATATACAAGTCCAGCACAGTGGTCAGAGGGATTTTAAGCCATTCTTCTTGCAGGATAGTGGCCAGGTCACGACGTGATGCTGGTGGAGGAAAATGTTTCCTGACTCGCTCCTCCAAAACACCCCAAAGTGGCTCAATAATATTTAGATCTGGTGACTGTGCAGGCCATGGGAGATGTTCAACTTCACTTTCATGTTCATCAAACCAATCTTTCACCAGTCTTGCTGTGTGTATTGGTGCATTGTCATCCTGATACACGGCACCTCCTTCAGGATACAATGTTTGAACCATTGGATGCACATGGTCCTCCAGAATGGTTCGGTAGTCCTTGGCAGTGACGCGCCCATCTAGCACAAGTATGGGGCCAAGGGCATGGCAGTATGGCAGCCCAAACCATCACTGATCCACCCCCATGTTTCACTCTGGGCATGCAACAGTCTGGGTGGTACGCTTCTTTGGGGCTTCTCCACACCGTAACTCTCCCGGATGTGGGGAAAACAGTGAAGGCGGACTCATCAGAGAACAATACATGTTTCACATTGTCCACATCCCAAGATTTGCGCTCCTTGCACCATTGAAACCGACGTTTGGCATTGGCACGAGTGACCAAAGGTTTGGCTATAGCAGCCCGGCCGTGTATATTGACCCTGTGGAGCTCCCGACGGACAGTTTTGGTGGAAACAGGAGAGTTGAGGTGCACATTTAATTCTGCCGTGATTTGGGCAGCCGTGGTTTTATGTTTTTTGGATACAATCCGGGTTAGCACCCGAACATCCCTTTCAGACAGCTTCCTCTTGCGTCCACAGTTAATCCTGTTGGATGTGGTTCGTCCTTCTTGGTGGTATGCTGACATTACCCTGGATACCGTGGCTCTTGATACATCACAAAGACTTGCTGTCTTGGTCACAGATGCGCCAGCAAGACGTGCACCAACAATTTGTCCTCTTTTGTCCTCTGGTATGTCACCCATAATGTTGTGTGCATTGCAATATTTTGAGCAAAACTGTGCTCTTACCCTGCTAATTGGACCTTCACAGTCTGCTCTTATTGGTTCAATGTGCAATTAATGAAGATTGGCCACCAGGCTGGTCCAATTTAGCCATGAAACCTCCCACACTAAAATGAGAGGCGTCTCAGTTTCATTGTCCAACCCCTGTATATCTATAAAATGTCAAATGTCAGAAAAATGCCAACTGGGATTCCATAAAGCCAAAGCTTGTTTTGAAAACCGTTAATAGCGAGGTCTGATTATTACTGGAGACACTTTACTGTATCTTTAAAAAGTTCTTTAATTTAAATGTTTAAACGTCTGCATTAGCATGGCAGCACATCTTTATTAAAGGCTGTGTCACAACTAGTGTTGACAGGTGCAGCTTTTGTAACAGCTTCCTCTTTGAGTATATGCAAACTGATAAACAGTTCTGAACACATCAGAAATGACAGGGTTTGCAATCTGGTGCAGTTCCTCCGCTTTGCAGCATGCTTGGACCAAATGTAATGTGAAAGGTGATGATGAAACACTGGATTTTTATCTGGTTTAGGCCAGTTACAATAATTGTGTTTTTTTATTGTACAATAGGTGAAATGGGGTGCGGGGGCTGATTAGTTAAAGGGTCACACAGTGTTGCCAGACTTGCCCAAAAAACCCATAACTCGTCTTTTTTCTGGAGCTTTCCACCCGCGATCCGTTATCATGGCAGCAGGTGAGCCGGTAGTGTGTTCACTGTTGCTTTACTTTGTCCGTGCTTGTAAAATATCCACTGTGTCCGCAACTTGTAACGTAATAGAGTACCAAGTTTTTTTAATGAGTGAAGTCTAAATGCAAGTGAACACATTACATTCCCCCACGACCCACGGCCCAACCCTAGTTAAAACAATTTTCTGTGTGTAACCTGTAAATCGCCAAAAACCAATCCAAATCAGCCGACTTGCTGTTGGCTTTAGAGCATTACTCCAAGAGGCTTTTCTGGACTGGTCTGGACATGATTTATGTGCCACAAAAAATTTTCACATTCCAAAGAATTAGGCCCCCACCACTGATCTTTAGGGGGGCGCTAGGGAGCCATTTAGCTCATGACACGTAAATATTCGCAGGATTTGAACTTTGTGCAATGTTTTTTTAAATGTTCAAGCATGTTTAAGCCGCCGAAATGTGCTTCATTTGCAAAAAGAAAGAAAGAAAAAAAGAATTCCTTTGGCTTCAATAGGGTCCAGTTTAATTACAGTTAAAGAGCACACGCCCACACCTTATGTGACATCTTACCTGCCATATTCCAGCAGAGTGGAGTGAACCCTGGATTCCTCATCCAGCAGCTCCCCTGCATCTCTCTGCCTCCTGTACTTTCTCTGGGGTTTGTACACTTCCTGGGAACAGGGATTTCTATTTAATGTAAATGCTCCGTATTTGTATAGCGCCTTTCTAGTCTTTTCGACCACTCAAAGCACTTTTACACTACATCTGCATTCACCATTCACACACATTCATACACTGGCGGAACTCGGGGTTCAGTATCTTGCCCAAGGACACTTCGACATGCAGCTTGGAGGAGCCGGGATTGAACCGCCGCCCTTCCGATTAATGGCCAACCCACTCCTGAGCCACAGCCGCCCCCATAAATAAATAAATGAAGATAACCTATAACCTGTTTGTTCTTGTTGTTTTTAAATATACAGTATAAACAGTTATCTAAATAATTCATATATTATTTTACTTTGTCAGTTATTTGATGTATGTGATACTGGGTAGTGCAGCAAACTCACCAATACATCCAGAACTGCCCTGACAGCCTCGTCTTTCATCTGGACAAATTCTTCATCCTACACCACAGGGTTTTATAGCACAGGTGAACACCAGTTCTTTGTATTACACAAGTTTTCTGCCAAATTAATGACAGAGGTTTGTGTGTTAAACAATCTTTCGCAGCATCATCTCTTACTCAAGCTGACCATGAAAAACTGGCTTTTTCTGCTGCCCGTTTCCACAAGAAGAAACAAAAGAATTATAGTAAGCCACAATTTTTAATTTCTTACTGTCTCATTATTTGGAATATTTTGTAATTCCGATTTAGTATTTCATATCATCTTAGTGTCCCAGCATTCTGACTTGGAACATCAGTACTTAGTATCTCATCATAGTTCTGAATGAGTCATTACTGTGACATACAATGCCATCATATTTACTTAGTATTTAATTGTTTTGACAGGATTTGATGTGTTGTAAGGAATTTCCTGGTACTGTATGATTACCTCTGGAAGGCTGTGGGTCTTGTGGAACTGAGAAATGGAGTAGGCTCTCACATAGTCACCCATCTCCTCCCTGGTCTCAATGGCTCGCTTCACCAGCCACTGGCAGGAGACACAACAGAGTTTATCAGATAGAAGAATGAACGAGAAAGCACGGCGTACAGCACAAACTTCCACAAGCAGTGTTTCCCCTAGGATTTTGCCTGTTTAGACTCAATACTTTCTCCCTTCCTCTACAACATTTTTACTGCTAAAGTTACTACCTCTTGATCATAGACTGTATATAAAAAGCTCCATGTTGAGCTTGCTAGTTATGCTACATTCACATATCGGGCGACAAGACCATGGATAGAGTCCTATGAAATTGGTTTTAATTTGTTGCCAGATTCTGTTAAATTTTTTACCAAATTCCATGTTTTTTTGTTTCTGTGTTTTACAATTTGAGCACAACAATTAGTTATTGAAAAACTATAATACTATTTAATAGGGGACGATTCACATTGCTGCAGTACATGTATTGTGAACTGTCCCCTATCAAACAGATTTACATGACAGCCTCCATATGCTGATGAACACACATAAGTGGGTCTGACTCAGGCTACTCTCATGTGGGCAACCTACTCCTTGTTTACAAAGCCTGACCAGACATAACTTTTTATTTTTTCTAACATAATATATGACTCCGCCCACACAGCCAGGTTTGCGTCTTGCATCTGCCGACGTGGTTTCACTTCTGAGATTTTGTTTAAGTGATGAGCTGTGACTAGTGCGCTGTCTTCGGTGCAACGGCGTGTGTGTGTGGAGGAAACACTGAACGCTAAGCGCAGCTCTCACTGAAACACTGATTCGGCGGTGGTAGCTGGTAACCATCTTCCAGCCGAGCACGAACCGTGCGAGGTCCCTATTGAAACTGAAGGGATGATTAGGGCCCGAGCATGAAAAATGCGAGGTCATCAGAAGTGGTGAAAAATTACGTGTTTTATGGGTCCTGGGTACTGAGAGTAGGTTAGCCATATCAACTTCAATACTGTCCCAGAAAACACTTCGTACTTTAACAAACTCCTCTCAGCGATTAAGTCCGACTGACTTCAGATTTGTGTTGCGCGGTCTAAAGCCATTGATGATTAAAAGTTGTACAAATGGTGAGTTTTCGTGGTATGGCGTGGCCATGGCGTGACGTCAAAAGACGATGATTTGTCATAAAACAGGAAGTTGTTGTAACTTCAGTCAACATGCTTACATCTGGTACCAAATTGGAAATGTACTATAAAAGTCCTGTCCTGAACACATCCATATGCCAATACTCACTCAAAGTCACAGCGCCACCTGCTGGCAACAGGAAATTACACGTTTTATGCTGTAATATACTACTCCTAGCAGGTTGGACATATCTTCAGAACTTTAGAACTGTCCCAGAAAACCCATAACGCATTGATGAAGCCATGTTGTAAAACTCGTGACTTTGCAGTCAACGGTGTGGCGGTGGCGTATGTGGAAAATTTTAACTCTTCGCCATGACACAGGAAGTTGTTGTAACTTGACTGTACATGCTCACATCTGTACCAGATTTTACACGTTTGATAAGAGTCCTGCCCTGAACACTCCGTGACTCCATGGCGTGGCGTCCAAAATCGATGATTTGCCCTGAAAGAGGAAGTTGTTGTAACTTTAGTGTACATGCACACATCTGGGGCAAGTTCAATCTCAAAATGTTTTGCACTGGTTTTCAACATTTTCGTATTGAATGACGTGTTTCCTTGCAACGTTGCGCAACGTTCTGCAACGGGCTTCGAGGTATGTTTTCTGCGGTTTGGTGGGCGAGTCTCAGGTGTTACCCAATCAGCTGTGACAAGTTTGTAAACACAACGGTGTTAAAACTGCAGGAAAATGCAGTGTGGTTGTGTACACAGCAGGGTGTTCAGGGAACCATCGTTTCCGTTGAAAAAAAACGTTTTCCTACGTTTTGTCTGCGCTGGACTCGGCCCTACACTAAATTTGATATGTATAATGAGAGTTCCGCCCTGAACACATCCACATGCCAACATTCACGCAAGGCCATAGCGACACCTGCTGGCAACAGGAAGTGACCTTAAACGAAGCAGCCCCGCTGAATGTTTCAACTACATGTATGAAATTTCTGTGGCAAGTGTATCATGTCCAGACGTACCAAAAAGCCTCTTGGAGCGATGCCCTAAACCCAACAGTCAGCCATTTTGAAATTTATGGTGGTGCAGTGGTTAGCACTGTCGCCTCACAGCAAGAAGGCCGTGGGTTTGAACCCCGGTTGCTCCGTACTTTTACAAACCCCTCCTGGAGAATTACTCCAACCGACCTCAGATTGTCAATATCTACTCTAAACCCATTGATGATTAAAAGTTGTACAAACGGTGAGTTTTGGTGGAACTGCGTGCAAGTGGCGTGGCGTCCAAAATTGATGATTCGCCATGAAAGAGGGAAGTTGTACATGCTCACATCTGCACCAAACTTTACATGTTTAATAAGAGTCCTGCCCTGAACACATCTACAAGCCAAAATTCACCCATAGTCACAGCGCCACCTGCTGGCAACAGGAAGTGACTACGTTTATGCTGTGATGAACCACTTCTTGCAGGTTGGCTATATGTACTTCAAAACTATCTCAGAAAACTCTTAACACATTGATGATGTCATGTTGTAAAGCCCATAAGTTCTCCTTCAACGGCGTATCCTTGGTGGTGTGGCGAAGTTCAATGCTTCGACGTGAAACAGGAAGTCGTCGTAACTTAACTGTACATGCTCAAATCTCTACCAAACTTTGGGTGCTTGATAACTGTCCCGCACCATCTACACGCCAATATCCACCTGTAGTCGTAGTGCCAAGTGCTCTGCAACACCACAAAGGGGACACAGGAAGTGACGTATAATACCTTTGTGCAGCGTCCAAAGTGCATGGCAATTTCACAGTCGCACCAGAAGAGCTCCAGAACCTGCAACGTGGCCGCCTCACATCTCAACGCGCAACAAGTGAGAGGGCCTGCCAGACGCTGCTTGCAGCTTTAATTATTGTTATTTGTAAATATATCTGCTTTGCACCTCTGCCACAGTCAGACACACACACCTACACCTCTGGCCCCGCCTCTCTCAATCTCTCTCTGCTCGCCTGACTTTCTCAGTATGTTTTAGAAACTTGCACAAAAAAGAACTCTTTTTCCCCAGATTTTTTCACCCACAATCCGTTATCATGGCAGCAGGCGCTGCATGCTGGCTTATAGTCCATCAAAAAACTGAAATAAACATCTGCACCCTGTGTGTTCACTGTTACTTTACCTGGCCTGTGCTTGTGCTTGAACATCCATGTCTGCGACTTGTAACATAGGCTACCAAGTTTTTTACCAAGTGACGTCTAAATAAAATAAAACCACACAACCAAAACAATCTACTGTGCAGCTTAAAATTCCACTGGAAGCGTTTCAGGAGCGAAGAGTTTTGCCTGCCCCACAGACCACAGACCACTTAGCTGATATTGAAGTATTACAGTAAGTAAAGTCAAATTTGCCAGACGAACGATAAGAGTAAAAATACAACTTTGAAGACAAACTCCAAAGCGAAAGCACATAAGTAAATTATTTTTACTTTACCAGTGTTACTATTTATAAATGTTAGATGCAAATGGCCACATTTGATGCGGAATATTAATACAGTCTGTGTCTCGGTTCAGGATGAAGTCTCTCACCTGTATCACTGGGAAAATGTGGATAAAATCCAGCCCTTGGATTTGATGGGGCTCCAGGCGATGAGGACACTTCATCTTTGGTAACACAGACACTATTTTCTCCGTCAGAGCTCTGCAATCAGAAAGAAAGCACTCAGCACTGACTGAATTGATCTTTTCTCAATGATTCCAGCTACTACAGTGTTATCAAAATGAACAGTCCAAAACTACGAAAATAAAATCAAGGTTGAAAAAAAGAATATTCCTTTAAGATCTACTTAAAGATTTACTCTGGAGATACAATGAATTGAGATTTTAAAATTACATTTTCAAAATGTTTGCTTTTTGTTATTACATTATTACCATACCTGTATATGCTAAATAACTGAAACAACTAATTGGTTACAAAGTGTAAGAATATGAAAAGTCATATCCATGAATCCCCAATGTACTCAAAAACCAAAACCAGTTAAACAAAACAATAAACATACAGCAGCCTCATCAATGATCCCTTTCCACCTACTTGCTCAGGCTGCTCCAAAAGTCAGAAACATTTTACTACAAAAAGTAATAACTGATTAAGTCTTCTGACCCCTACCGAGCTGGACATAAACCCAGTTTTGGTTGTACAATGTCTGATGTCTAGATAAGCTACAGATCCCTACATGCTGGTTCACTGCATCTGATTGGGTGGCTTGTAGATGTGGGTTGTACAAATAGACAATTTGAGAATGTTTTACTTAAGCCTGTCTTTGGTTGCTGAAACTTTAAAATCCTCCACCAGTGGACATGTCTCAGAGCAATCTAGGAACACTGACTGATGACTAAAGACTTCCCCCACGCTTCTCTCCCAACCGTCAACATCTGGAACAGCACAAAATAACACAGCATGAGCCTTCTAAAAAAAACACTAACATTTTCTGGCCAATAGTTGAGTTTTCTTGGAAAAGAAGATCCACATCTATGTCAAAGTTACATGTGGTGATGCACCAGGTCATACCACCAACCACCTGAAGACGAGAAAAGAGGACACAAGATGAGTGAGGGTGGAGGTTTCCCGTTGTGACAAATCAATGGCAGTGTAGGTACCTGCGATGCTACCTGAAATCACTGAATGAGATGGATCGGTACTTAAGATCACCCTTTAGTGAACCATGTATCATCATCAACTGGACAAGCAAAAAGTACCCATTTAAGTATGAATCATGGAATTTTCCCAAGAACAGGGTGGGACCAGCGTGGAGAGACCAGGAACAGGTCATGTATGGAACTACCTTATCAAAAGGTGACAACCCTTTGATCCGTGCTCTGAAGTATCCCGCTGCCAGCAGAAGCTCCAGGATCTCCGCCAGCTTCACGCTCTGTTCTTCATCCTCTCGGGTTTCCACCTGGGAGCCAAACACACATCATCATCATCATCCACCTCTAAGAAGATAAGTCTCCATTCGGGCTGCTAAAGTGCTCTCGAGCAAGACGCTGAATCCCAGCCAGCTGCAGAGGCGCTGTTTTCTGACCCAGAGAGCTGAGCTGTCTGAGAAAGGAGGCAAACAGTGCGCTGGAGACTCCGTCTGTCGTTGCCTTTAAACTGTTTTTGAACACACTATTATGACGTTTAAACGGTTAAATGACATTAAAATGTAAATGCGCTCGTGAGAAGCTAGCGTCAACCGTTAACGTTAGCTAACCAGCCGCCTTGTTATATGTTGACAAATAACGTATTTAAAATTTTTGTTGAAAAAGCCTTGTTGGGAATTTTGCTCTTTAATGCTCTTTACCTGGATGAGGTTGCCTTCTTGGTCATACTGTGCTGTGTGAACACCTATTTTGGACCCAGTTCTCAGTCTGTGGAAAACAGACGCCGCCATGATGAACTGCAGCGTTGATGATGACAGGTCACATGACTGTAACATGTGACAGGCAGATATTCATTATTATTCACGCCTAAATGCGACAACACACGAATTGATACATAATAACATGTTTCATCTAGTATTCCAAACCACAGTCTGTGTTTTAAACGCCTGACAATTTCACAAGGAGCAAAACATGTTGCTAGACCACACAACATGCACGTGTACTTTCAGCCAGCATGGGGCGCACTAGAAGAGGAAATAAATAAAGGTTGTTTTTTTGTTTGTTTGTTTTTGTACTTTTCCCCCCCATTCATTTATTTTGCATTATACAAAACCAACAATTATAGCTCCTTTAGGACAAAAATATAGTCCTGGACTAAGTAAAAAACAAAACAAAAAACAAAAATAAATAAGATGCAAGTTACAAGTGCAATTAAAGACTTCATAAAGAGCAAGAAAATAGGTAAAGAACAAACAACTAATCAAAACATTAATGGAAAGAATTACAAAATAAAAAATATCAATTTTAACCTCTGGTTGGGGTCCAATTAAATGACAAATCTGACAAAAGTGTATAAAGTAAAATAGCCTTCTTGGAATGAACTATCTTCAAGACATAAATAAAGGTATGCACTAGACTATGTGGGAACATCATACATTTGATCATAAAATAAATATATATCTTAACATTATACACAAACAGCAGCCGTACATTATAATACATATTTAGAGTTAACATCTCAGACATTTTTGGGAAACATGTGGTCCGCTTACTCTTTGAATTCAACACTGCCCCCTTCTGAAGAGACGTCTGTTTGCGTCGCCTCACTGCCTTCTCCAAACTGACAAACCTTAAAGAATCAGATGTCTTGCTTTTGAATTGTAACAATTCATAGTTTTCAAACCATTTAGCAACGTAAGGTGTCTATGAAGATTCTCACATTAGTAGATGATTTCATCAAAGTTATCTGAACCTCTCCACGCTGTTGACAGGCTATTTGTCTGGTTTCTAATTATAAAAGAACATGTATTCTAGTAGAAAGTCAACACAAATATTCCAATTTAATGCGTTACCATGTTGTATAATATAAAACTAAAAAACAAGTCTTTATTTTACGCATTTCTATTTATTTGTAATTTTCAGTGATTGTTATATATAGGTAGGGCCTATCTCCTCGCATTTATATTCTTGTTATAATGTTTTTGTATTTTTTATTATTTCAATAAAGAGAGAAGAAAAAAAGATATATTTACTGTCGCGGATATTTTGCGCCATTGCTGCTCACAATCCGGCGACTAATTTACGACATCGGCTCCATTCACGGCACACGTGTGAAGGTTCCACTCCGGCGGTGTTTACTCCAGCATGGCTAAAGTTTCTAAGAAGAAAGAGAGTAAAAAGAGTGTAAAGAAGAGTCCCGCAGCGACCGCCGAGGACGCAGCGGAGAGGCCGGACGCGGTGTACGCTGATGATGACGAGGATTTAAATGAAGCGGATGAAAATATCACGAGCGAGGAGGACGGCGGCGAGGATGAACGAAAACGCCAAAAGCTACTGGAAGCCATCTGCTCTCTCGATGGTAAGAGGAAGAAAAAACTGGGAGAGAGGTCCGAGGCGGCCGTCCAGATGTCCGAGTTTACTGTCAATGCGGAGGGAGAGTGCGACAAAGTCGATCTGTCGGACCTCATCGGGACCATGGAAAAAACCCCAGCTGTCCCAACCAAGACCAAGAAGCAGCTAAAGAATCTGCAGCAGAGTAAGAAGACCATTGAGTGCCCTCTCAGCAAGCAGGAGAGGGAGAGGATCCAGAGAGATGTGGCTTTTCAGAAGGCAGCCACAGAGGTGACCCGGTGGAGAGAGATTATCAAACAGAACCAGAGGGCTGAGCAGCTGGTTTTCCCCCTGAACCAGGAGCCCTCTGGCCCCAAACCTATGGAGAGGGTGGTGACCAGCTGGAAGGTGCAAACCCCACTTGAGCAGGAGATCTTCGCCCTCCTGTCTGCCAACAAGCAGCCCATCAATGACCCCATCCTGACCCCTGCTGAGGAGGCTTCCATGAGGGCGATGAGCCTTGATGAGGCAAAGATCCGCCGAGCAGAGCTGCAGAAAGCACGGGCTCTGCAGTCCTACTACGAGGCTAAGGCCCGGAGAGAGAGAAAGATCAAGAGCAAGAAATACCACAAAGTGCACAACAAGACCAAGCGTAAAGAGTTCCTGAAGCAGTTTGACGAGATGGTGAGGACAGACCCGGCTGCTGCCTTAGAGGAGCTGAATAAAATGGAGCTGGGCAGGATGCAGGAGAGGATGTCGCTGAAGCACCAGAACAGCGGCAAGTGGGCAAGGTCAAAGGCCATCATGGCCAAATATGATGAGGGAGCACGCAAAGCCATGCAGCAGCAGCTGGAGGTGAACAAAGAGCTGACCCAGAAGCTGGTGACCTCGCTGAATAATGAGGAAGAGGAGGAGAAGGAAGCTGGCGATAAAGAGGTATTGCCTGATTTTGTAAATGATGCAGAGCAAGAACTGGATTCTTCAAATCCCTGGATGAGAGGCAAGCTCTCTGAAGATCCCACAGAGAAAGAGATAAGTGACACTGTGGATCTTACAGCAGAGCTGCCTGCAGTGGTGGAAAACCCAGCTGAAGAGGAGGAGGAGGAAGAGGTCAAGGAAACAGAAGAGGATGCTCTCCTCAGAGAGTTTGACCGCAGGAGGAAGCTGCGTCAGACTCAGGAGGCTGATGCAGTATCTGTGATGTCTGTGGATGGCAAGGTGGAGATGGTGGATGAGGAAACAGCAGCAGAGGACCCAGATGCTTCAGATAAAGAGGAAGAGGAGCTTTCAGAGTTCACAAGCCTTTTCAGAGGAATAGCAGACTGCCATCGGGAGGCTGAAGTGAAGAAGGCAGAGGTAATGGCAGACACGAGCCACACGGACGCTTCAGCTCAGCTGGAGGAGGGGTTGATGAGGATCAGGACTCTGGAGGACACAGAACTCCTCAGTCAGGAGAAGTCAGCCACTGATAAAGTACCTGTTCAGCCCCAGCAGCCTCCAGCCTCAGAAAACCTGCTCTCTGCAACTTCACAGCCAGGCAAAAGCAGAAAAAGGAAGAGAGGGATTGAGCTGAAAGAAGTTCTCACCAAAGAGACGAAAGTCATCAAAGTCCCACTCGCTCCAAACATTGAGGACACTGAGGACTTGGATAAAAAGCTGGACCAGAGGGCACTCATTAAAGAGGCGTTTGCTGGAGATGATGTTATCTCAGACTTCCTTAAGGACAAGAGGAAGCAGGAGGATGCAGGGAAGCCTGAGGTGGTGGACCTGACACTGCCTGGGTGGGGCGAGTGGGGAGGGACAGGCCTCAAGCAGTCTCGTAACAAACGCAGGAGATTCAGGATTAAGACAGCACCGCCTCCGCCCAGGAAAGATCAACATCTGCCCAGCGTCATCATCTCAGAGAAGAGAAACAGTTCCATCAGCCCTCACCAGGTGAACTTGCTGCCCTTCCCCTTTGAGAGCCACGCGCAGTTTGAGAGCACCATCCGCTCTCCGCTGGGCCGCACCTGGCTCACGGAACGCGCTGTGAAAAAGATCACCACGCCCAAGGTAGTCACCCAGCTGGGTGCCATCATCGAGCCGATGGCTCGGGAGGAGTTGATTAAGGACAAGAAGCAGGTGTCTGCTGGGAAAAAAGATAGCGTGGACTCGTGGAGAATAAAACATTAGCAACAAGTTTCATAAAAACGAAAAAGTACCACAGGTTGTTAGTACTTCTCCACTGCTTAGATACTTTGTATACATTCAGGTCTGTGTGAGTCTGCATGGGAAGATCAGGACATTCTGTGTGAATAAGTCATGGATTAGAGAGCTGAAATTATGTTTTACAAATACTGTAACTTGTCTTTTCTGGAGCTTTCGAAATGTTTTATTTTGTATTAAAATCTATTAAATATAGAAAGTCAACTAAGTAGTTAAGAATTTTGAATTAAATTCCATCTTTGCGGTTAAAGATATGGTTACAACCTTGTGAGTTGAATTATTAACAGCTATTCTTCATTTGCCCAAGAGTAAGATGTATTAAAGTGCACTAAAACAATACCTGCTCCCCAGTTTGTTGTCCTGCACACATGCAGTTACAAGACACATACAAGTTCTTTATGTAGTTCTATGGTTTAGAACAGGTGAAATTTTCATCCCACAAACCCTGTGGAAGTCCTTAGTGGATCATATAAATATTAAAGGCTCTGCATTCACATTGTTACTTAAATAAAAGCATGTGAGTATTAATAGCAACATATCCCCAAAGTACCAAAAACTACTGAAAACATGTTCTTTGTTGTTATTACTACTGTATTTATGTTAAAGCAGAATTTTGATGTTGCTGTAGGGAGACGGCTAATTTGGACTATTGGTAATGGATAGTTCAATGTACTGTATAAATATCTATTGTATTTATATGTTCATTATAGGTTTCTAATACCTGAATCTGTAAAGAATTAACCAGTAACTATAGACATATGGAACAGAGAAATAGGTACCATATTTCCCTTTTGATATGCAGTGAAGCAGAAAATAGAAATATTAAATACATGTTTTGTACTTGCACTTACCATACACCACCTAGTAATTTATGTATTCATTAATTTAATGCCAGCAAGCACTGTTCAGGCAGACAGACTATTGTAACGTTTAACCAAGATCACATAGTAAAAGATAATAAATCTGTCAAGTTCAGTAAAATTCAGCGCTCAAGTATGGTTACCAATACATGAAAAAAGGAAAAAAGTTGAATTCTACTTGGAATTTTCATTAGGGGAAATGAAAGGTTAATACAGTTGGAGCACAAGGTTAGACAACCTTGGTTAATTGAAACAGAAAAATGCAAAGTTAGGGCTGATTCTAAATAGTAGTGTCAAAGTTAGGCATAATCAAAATGTAACTTTATTTAGACAAGATCTTGTGCAGCTGTTTCCAGACTAACATTTGAGAACTGTCGCTGCTTTTGTTAAATGAAAACAGGCTTCATCCACAGCCGTGTTTATATTCTTCAAAGTGAGGTATTTAAAAAGTGCTGGTAGTAAAACGTGCTGGTACTAAAGCTAAGGTATTGGCACTAACATTTCAAAGAATACCCAGCCTATCTGTATTAATAATAATTCATAGATCTGAAATGATAAGTCAATTCATCAATCAAAAGAAAGTTTATTGTCAAATGAGTCATTTTTCAAGAAACATTCCCTGGTTTCAGTTTCCCAACTGCACGGTTTTCTGATGTTTGTTATTATGTGATTAGGAATTCATTTTATAGATTAAACAATTAGTCAACTAAGAATATAATTAATAAATGATTATTTTATAGAAAATAAATGATCTAATAATGTATCCTGTTTGGAAAATCTGGATGGGGAAATATCAGCATAATTTTCTACTCTGTTGGCCAACCACTGCATTTTTGAGTCACTTTACATGTAATATTTTCCAACTGTCAATCAAAACTAACAATTACCTCTAACATCCTGGTATCTGAGACATTTTTTCCATCATGTTAAAAATCTACATTGAAACCTATTTGAATGATGAATGAAGTCCCATGGCCCTGTGACCAGCAGGCCTGGTGAGGGTGGAGGTTTCTGCTGCGTGCCCGGGAGAGGGAGAGGGAGACCGTTATGAGCTGTACAGCATCCAACAACATCATTTTACAAGTTTGTGCTTGACTTTCTTCCCCTCTCTTTCTCTGTTGATTTTCAATACATTTGTAAAGCCATGCAGCAGTGTCTAAAAGAAAAGCCATTTCAGTTGGGTTAAACCTTCACACATGGGTGAGAGTGCATGCTTTGGCACCTGACATCTCTGTATTCCACATGATAGACACTCTATTAAAGTGGGGCGTCCCGTAATGGACTATGCATCAGTTCAGGTAATGGTTGTCAGCTTGAGTGCCCTAGAGGCAGCAGAGAATTCCATTAGAATGCTTATAGTTACTAAATCAGTCATTCTCCACCTTCCTCTCGATCGAACAACCTCTTTGGGGCAATTACTACAGCTTCATACAGCTTTCAACAATGAAAAGAGACCTAGTCCTTGGACTTAGTCCTGCTCACTGGACTGCAACGAGATCAGACAGTGATTTTCATTCAAATATTTGAAGGCTGCTGCGGCTGTAAATCAGAAAGCTGGGGGTATGAATGGCATACAACCCCTGTGATGGAACATGTTTTTCTCCATAATGCCCATTTGCGAGATCCGCTTAAATATTTGTTCTAGGATGAAGGAGCATTTATGCCAACCTTATTGGTTGGCTGCAAATCACAAAAGATGCAATACTGGCTTACCTTCTGTCCCCTGATAGATTCTTGCAGTACGTTAATGAGATGTGACAGAAGACATGGGTTATCTTACTGTATTTCTCATCATGCAAAGTAATTCCAGGCTTATTGAAGAACAGTGGAGTGGAGGTAAATACCCTAACAGTGCCATTGTTATTCACTGCAGTCCAATTGTATTGGAGGTCTCTGCATGAAACGATGTGATAGAAGACTTTTTCTCATTTCCCTCTGTAAGCCAAGGCCCAACTCCATTCCCACCCTGACAGGTGTAAGATTAACTTAGTTAGGTGCAGGGCCGCTCATGCGCACCAAATTAAATTAATGGAACAAATTTCCCTCCTAATTAAGATGAAAATACGTGTCAGTTGTAACCTTGCTGAGCACTAATTATGTACAAATGATTTATCATCTGTTTCGTCCTGAATAGCAATGGGCTCACCTCTCCGATAGCCCTGGCTGGCTGTTAAGAGATGGCCCCTGATTAACAGTGACAGGTTGTGCTGCGAAGAAGCAGCACGTTGCCAGCCAGCCAATCGGAGCCAGCCTGAGCTCAGACTCTCCTCCCTTTCATTAACCTACCTTGAGTGCAGCTGAGCATCACTTTGCCTCTGCTCTTCTTCTTGTTTCGCTCCTCCTGAATGAAAATAAAGCAAATTCAAAGAGTAAAGGTGGGGGAGATGATGTGACTGATACAGGCTGATGGAGCAGGGAGGTGAGAGTGGTACAAGCTGAACCAGGGATGAATAAAGAATTTCCCCTCGGGGATCAATACAGTATTTCTGATTCTGATTCTGAATCCCTCTGCATGTGTCATGTGTATTGAGAGTGGATTAGAATAATGTATGTACTAACAGAGGGAGATGAAGCGACTCTCCACCTCAAATAACAAGTTGGATACCACAGAATACAGTCAAGCTCGTACACCAACATTTTACACCTGGCAGGGGATAATTGCTTTAAAGTGCCCTATAACAAAAACAAGCGTGTATCTCTCTAGTACCAGCCTGAGGCCAGCAGGTGGAGCAATAGGTCAAGCCTGCAAAAAGCCCACTGTGTAAATTCCTGTGGGCTAAAATATCAAAATAAACAGGGCTTCATTATACATTTACAGCCTAACTGGGATATTCTATCTTATTTTCTCCTGCCTTGCAAGTACAGATATATTTCAATGGGCAGCAGCTCTGATTAGCATTAGAATCAGAGTCCCTTGTGATGCAAAGGGACACACTGGCCAATCTGTAATCATTGTTCCGCAGGCTTGCTCACAGGGGATATAGCCCGCTTTGTCATTATCATTCAATATGCCACACACATGCTGGCATAGCTTTCGTGGTGCTGCCAGCAACAGGGCATTTGCATTTCCTCCTCATAGTCCCAAGAAATTGCACAGACAATAATGCACCACAAATGACTACTCTGTTTCTACTTCCTGAAGATGAGAGATGCCTTTCCCCCTGACTGCTGCTGAAGACAGAGAAAGGCTCTCTCATTCTATGTCTCATTTCCTCCTTGTGTAATTCTTCTCTTTCAATGTGTCCTCAAAATGTCATTTTGTACAGGTGTCAGCTCCATAAGAGATCATTGGACTTTCTATTGTGATTTGGGGATATTTAGCCAACACCTACCGTTGCCATAATTTGCTTGTTGGATGTTTCATTGTTACGGTAAATGTCAGAAAGCCTGCACAGGGGAAGTACCTGTGTTCTCCAACATTTAGGCCAAGGTTGACTGGCTATTCCTCTGCTGCTGGAGACGTGGCACAGCTGCATTTAATGCAGATTCACAGCATGTCAAGCACACAGACAGAGAGGGAATGTTAAACACTCATTGAAAAAGGGATCTGTGCCCTGTGGGTGTAGGGTTTTGAAATGTGCACAGTTGAAATAGCATCCTTTCTGCTGACGAAAATATATGAAGGAATAGGAAATAAGTCTTGGTTTGAAATTTGACATATTTCCACTGACAAAAAGCAAAGGAATTAAATTTTGTACATATTTATGGCCTTGACTCTAATCTGTCAAATATTACATTTTATTCCTCATAATGCAGAGTGCTTAGGTCATCCCAAACATATTACACATTCATTGGAACACACGAGCAGCAGCTATTTTCTTTTGTTGCACCCACACCGTTTCCCAATGTATTCCTCTGCCTGTAGTGAGAGAGAATCGGCAGCTGAGGTTTGAGAGGGTTGGCAAACAGCATCTCCCACATCACGACTATCTAGGGACTGGCGGATGAGGCAGGGAGGGAATGGGTTAGAGGTTAATTATAGACAACAGAGAGGTCACAGGGCCTATTATTTTGGAGCTGAGACCTGCAACGGTCCAATGGGGATGACATTTACGATGAGGGTCCAGCCCCACCCCTCCATCACCCTCCACACCTACAACCCACCCCGTGCAAGCCATCACTCACGTTTATACTGAAGGAGCCGACAGTGGGACTCATTGGTCTGATAATGAAAAGGCCCTTAGTGTTTGGCACAGGCATGATGATGAATTGAATCCCTGGCTGTTCTCTGGCTGTGTCAAGGGGCCTCCAAGTAGCCCTTGACAACTAATTGAAAGCCCCCATGCCCTTCTCTTACCTACCAGGCTTCCTTTATCACTCTAATTATTGGGGTTAAGTGAGTCTCCCATGGGACTGTGAGTAGTACAGTGTGTAGAACATGCCAAGTCATATTATTGGATAAAAATAAATTGTAAAAGTATAAATTAATCATGGAGCTGCCTGAATCTAAGGGTAGTGAGAATTCTCCATGGCCCTGAAGGTTTGTAGTCACAGTGTTTGTACCAAATGAAAATAGCTTTTTAAGATGTGACAACAAAAACATCTGCAGATTTATAATAATAATAATAATAATAATAATAATAAATAGTAATTATAGCACTCATCAAACAAAAGTACAAAGTGCTTCACAAAAAACAACACTGGGAGAAAGAGGGCACGTAACACCACCATTAAAGATAAAGATACATGAGGACAATACAAGATACAAAATACTTTCAAGCACTCAATAGCATAGAGTACTATGCATACTGTATTTTTATTATTGTGAAGAAAAGACTCAAACCAACAATAATGTATCCCAACAAGTACCGTGTGTGTATTTCCAAAGCTGACGTGTTTCCTTCCTCTGAGCCGTAGAGCTCCATTGTTGTGAGCCACACACAGTTACGCTGGGTTTACATGTTCTCTCATCACCATGAACACACACTGTAGTTTATTCTGATTCAGTCTCACATACACCGTCCTGCTGCCCAAGGTACCTACTGCAGCACCAAATTATGATCCTTGAAATGGATCCTTTTTTAGACATAAAATGCTTTTTGGCTTATCTTTTTTGTCAGTACATCCTAATTTTATTTTTCCCTAACCCTTTCATAGTAACTTTCTGTGGCAAATGCATAACATTATGTATGAAATTTGAAAAGTTATGAAATTTAACACACATACCAAGGCCATAGCCAGATGTTTAGAAATACTGAAGTCCACTGAAGGCGCGGCCATGCCTTAGGAAGTAATCGAAAGATCGGTGATTCAATCCCCGGCGCACCCAGGCTGTATGTCTAAATGTCCTTGGGTAAGATACTGAACCCCAAATTGCCCCTTATGGGTGTTCCATCAGTGTATGAATATAGGTGAATGTGATGTAATCTAAAGTGGTCACTAGAGTAGTTGTAAGACTATTTACCAAAGAAATGAAGTGTCCCCAAATTTTACATTGCAAATTTTTCATTTAACTTTTTGATTGTATTTCCTGTAAATTAACTATAGATGGTCCATTTATGTTTAAACTATTATTATTTATACTATGTGAAGCCACATGTAATCCCTAAAACCCTAACATGAGCAGCAGGCTTCAGCTGAATAGAAAATGGAGTGTAAATGGCTCTGAGGATTATGAGCGATCCTCTCTACACTGTGACTTTCTCACCTCTGCATCTCCATAAGCCTATTAGACAACAAAAGCAAATCAAACATGTTGTGAAAAAACAGTGTTGTGTGTGTTAGGACTGACTACAGCATACAGCTGTTTATTTTTTTGTGGTGGAAAGCTGAAACGCTACATGAGCCTTTTGGGGAATTTTATTAATTTTACAAATGTTATTAAAAGTCACAAATTGCATATTTTCTAAGGGTTAGAAAAAAGATATGGTGCTCTCCAAAATACTAATGTAAACATAATATTTCTACTATTTCTCACCTAACTTCCAGTTTAAATTAATGACATTGGAACATTTACCTATATGAAACATACGAAATATATGATTTTTAAAATTTTTTTTTTAATTAAATCTTTATTACAACAGAGGAATACAGTTTACATGGGATATAGAAAGGCATACATAACAATATACAAAACACAAATAATTAAAAATAAAAGTTTGCCAGGGGTAGTGTATAGTACATAAAGAAAGAGGACCAAGTTTTTACAGCCTGATATGAGCTGTGTCGTCTGCAGATTTTATACGTCAGTTTTGTTTATACGCGTTTACGTCACGACTTTAGAAGCTGATTGGGTGTTCGTTCAGCTTAGACAACCGGAAGTAGTCTCAGTAGGGAAGGCTAATTAATATTTCCGTGTTTTGCAATCTAGTGTTACACAGTGTGTTGTTTTAATTGCCATGTGCAATGTATGGTTGTATTCGCTGAACGCCTCTGTCATCAAAAGGTAAACTTTATCCTGTACCTCAGCCAGTGTGCTAGTACGACAGGTAGCTGTTTATGACAAATGCAGTTCAGCTAAGTTAGCTATTTAGCTATCACATCAGGGTAGCAGATAACGTTAACGCCAAGAAAACTTAGCATATCCGCTGCCATCACAACTAGCGTTGCTTGTTCAGTTGTACTATTTAATTAAGGTGTTTTATTGGTTCTTTGAAACGTGTCCAAAGTAGCAAGGAACGAAGTAGAAACAAATGCTGTTGACGCTGCTTTATGATTAGCGGGTAAGTTCGGCTAAGTTCATCAGTCAAGCTAGCCAGTTAATTGGCGTTAGATTATTATTAAAAAGTAAAGGTTACACAGTAACACTTGTTATCGTTTGACCTCAGATGACCATACAGAGTCACATGGGGTGAAGTGTACCTAGTGTGTGCCTCTCATATTATCACTGCACGAGAGACAGACTGGGGCGAAAGGTGAGTGAAGTTCGACAGAAACCAGCTGAGTGCAGTTAGTTATCTAACGCTGCTTCATCACTAAATTAGTGAGGTACAAACTGTGGTGCAGGTTGGTAGCACCGGTATCATTATTTAATACCACCTTATTTACCACTTAAAAGCGATGTTACAATTAATACAGTCGAGCAGTGTGCACAATGCAGAGCATGAGGCCAGCATTAGAAATTCCACGTTATTTCTCTGATGGCATTGAACATGTAACTGCATTTTAGGCCCAGTAGTACATGTTTAAGCACGCAAAGAAGTTCACTTCGGTTACTGTTATACACAGTAACCACAAATGCTGGAAGCCCTGTATTCATTTAAGCAACATGTAATATCTTATTTGGTCTTATAACATAGGCTGCATTTGTGTGTGATTCTGTAGCCGGGGGAAAAGGGAAAAAAGTGTATCTAAATTACTTCCTGATGTTCTGATTCCCAGCTAGGGAGACCGATGTATGTGTATGCTTGTGGATATTGACTAAAATCAGAGAAAATGTAAGTTGTGCTTTAGGGTGGAGATTCGAGTCTTTCTTGATTCCTTACCTGTTCTTGTTCTTTAGCTTGGTCTGGGATGTCAGGGGAGGACATTGAACTCACTGGCGGATATAGACATCGCACACCATTCTATATTTTCCGGACCTAGGCGTACAAATGTCACTAACACAGACAGCCATGAGCAGCAGCGCAGTGACCAGTGCCCAGTGGTTGGGGACCGGGCAAATGCCACAGCCTTCCAGGGGCCCTTATATCTCAGTCATCACCAACAGGTTAGCTCTGCATCTTCTCCACATAAGCTCACCTGAAGAAGAACAACATGCAAGGGCAGAGATATGACTTTTATGTTGTCAGTTTGCATTATAAAACTATAACACTGAAAGCATTTTCCAAGTCTCATAACTCCTTTTGTTCTGCATTGTAGGACAACCAACATGGTGATCAGAGGGGCCATGCTGTTTTCTGTGGGCGTCTTCCTGGCCCTGGTGCTGAACTTACTTCAGGTGCAGAGAAACGTCACCCTCTTTCCCCCTGATGTCATCAGCAGTATCTTCTCCTCGGCCTGGTGGGTGCCGCCCTGCTGTGGCACAGCCTCAGGTATGTAAACACACTGCGTATAATGAGTGAAAAAAGTCCTGTGCTTTAATTTCCACTTTGCACTTACATGACAGGAAAGATAAAAGAGAAGGAAGTAAAAATGGGGAGTGAGAGTGCGATTAGCTATTCATGAAGACGGCAGTTAAAATGTAGATTAATCATGCAGCGCATCTGACCCGTTTTAAACAGTCATATTCAGTAATATTCTGTTGTCATTCTAGTGTGACAAACCTGCTCGCCAATCACAAGCGTCATGCTTTTCCTATGGTCCTACTCACCAGTCAGAGCCGGCACAGGGCATGTACATTTTACAACAACAAACGAAACTAGAGGAAAACATGTCTGATAACGGTGTCAGGCGAACCGACACAGGCAGGCGGCTGTGCTGCGGTTTTGTTCGGCATCAACTCACGCTGAAGAGTTTCTGCAGCAGAGCGTTTAGCCTGCCCTATATTGTTGACTTTTTGTTAATTTGTCATTTTATGTGCTTCAACTACGGATAACAGCTCTCAGTGAGCCCGTTTTGTTCCACTCTGTGCAGGCTACGCATCCCACATGGAGCATTTCAGAATAAGAGTATTTTGCCTGCCTGATTTTGCTGACTTGTTCAGATTTATTTCTTTTTTTTTTCATTTGTTCATTTGCTTTTTGTGCTTCTGCTATGGTTAAGTAGGCTACGTAGTTAAACGGTTTCTTTTTTGTCTGTTTGAACTGTGTTTATTGTTGATTTACGACCAGGAATCTGCACAGGGTGTTTTATTTTGATAATTGACCGGATTCTCTCTGCTGTTCTGTGTCTGACTTCCTGACCGGTTCATCTGCTCTGTGCTGGTTGTCGCGGCTTCTGTCAAAAATAGATTGGCAGTGAATATAGAACTTTAATTATATATATATATATATATATATATATATATAAAAAATTATCATCGCAAATCGAATTGCAAAAAATCCCAGTTCTTCAGCCCTAAGCATATGCATTGGTTATTCTTCCTGGGGTCCATTCAGATGTATATTTGTTCATAATAAAAATTGCTCCAGGTCAGGCAGTTTGTACAAATTAAATCCAACTGAAAATAAACTGCAGTATAACATGGCCCAGTGTTTCCCACAGGGTGTAACTGCGGGGGAGATGGGGTTATACTTGTGTATTTTATTTGAAAGAATACTTAATACGTAAATCTAAATGCTCTGTATTTGTATAGCGCCTTTCTAGTCTTTCCAGCCACTCAAGGCGCTGTACACTACATCTGCAATCACCATTCACACACATTCATACACTGGTGGAACAGCCACCGCCGACCTTCCGATTAACGGGCATCCCGCTCTTCCTCCTCAGCCACAGTCGCCTTTAGATTATTTCTAGTAGGCTATTTCTTAACTCATTTTAATTGTACTTAATTAGCCACCTTATTTTAGTCTTTCCTCACAAACTGCTGTAATCTGCTCACCTTAGCTGTTTCTATGCGTTCTTGTCTGTACTTGTGTTCTTGTGAAACGTCATCAGTCGCAGCCTAAGTAGAGTCAAATACCCGGATGTGTTCTCGCTCCGCCCCTTTTACCGAGCCTGCATCGGTGGTGACTTTTGTGGACTTCGGATCGCCAGATATCCCAAAATGCATTTTGCCGCCAAAAAGCGGAAATGTCGGACGAGAAAACTCTCAATTGTAATTTATAATCCTGCTGTTCTTGTGTCAAATATAGTAGTTTAAACAATATGTGGCTGATTTCTCAAGACAGAGCTGATTTGAAGGAGATGTGAGGTCCCGCCCGCTAACGGGTCTGGCCGTCACCAAGTGCACTGTTGTTGCTGAATGACTGACTGCGTGCTCCCGTTCCTGGGAGCCAAACTTGCCAAGCCCGAGTTTTAAAGTACAGAAGTCCGAACTTTGCGAACTCGGTATTCCTTTCAGACATACACATCTACATTTAGGTCTCTCTCTCTGTGTGTCTCTCCCTGTACCTGTCTGCTCTATTGACTTTCTTCTAAAGTCCTATTTTGGTTTTTCCACCCGCTTTTCCATTTTCACAGCAGGCAGACAGCCATGTGGAGGAGGCTTGTTGTTAATGACAGAGCCGATCGAGACCACCGTGGTACTGAATGACACACAGAAACACAGGGAATTTGCTTGTAGCTCGTCGCCTCAAAAGTTTAATTTATTTGAACTTAAGTCGCGCAACCGCGCTGTTATAATCTCACCGCAAACACTGTCCAGCGTCTCCCAGAAGCTCAAAACGCCTCTTAAGAAACCAACGGGTGACGCCAACGCATTTTATACTAACGTAGCTAGCTAGCTAGCTAACTAGCGAGCCTGGTCAGAGCCAAAATGGTGCTAGCTACCAAGCTGGCTACTGGTCTAGACATTGTGTCTCATTCAGACGCACCTGGAGGCGTCTCATATGGACGGCAAAGGGTAACTTTTGCATCAAATAACTCATAAGCTTAAGTATTTGATGCCCTGAGATGAGAACAGACAACAACACAGGAATAATTATGAACAAGCACATTTGCGTTAACCTTCTCTGACAGACAGGTCCACTTTTACGCATGTGCAGATAGGGATATGGCAGGCAGCACGGATATGGTACCTACATACAATCTATGGTGCTGTTATAAGAGCAGCGTAAAGTGCAATTTATACTTCTGTGTCAAATGCCGTGCAATGACGTGCACCTCAAGTCGACACAGACCATAAGCTCTGACTGGTCGGCTGGGTAGCCTCGCAATGCCTCCGAGACGACCGGAAGTACCTTTGAAGTAACATTTACTAGCAGCCAAAACGGCGGCTGTAACACAGTGAATTAATATATTTGACCGTCGCATCCCGAGCAAAATGACTCGTTCGCTATCAGAATACGATCCATTCGGTTGGTAACATTTGAAAAAGCTACACCAGCCGCACGTTTACAATTTTACCCCCATTTACGTTAGCGGAGGGCTAAACCGGAAGTTAGCCTGCTCGGCCGGCAAAAGTCAACACAGTGGACGCTGCAGCGCTACTGCCGACTAGCGTTTGGGGTGTAATTGCAGAATGACGGACAGACCTACGCACAAGTATAAATGCATGGCTACGTGCGTAACCTACAGACCCTACGCAGGAGTATAAATGGGCCTTAACTCCGAATCAGGAGGTGCGTAGCGAGTGTTTGATTTTCCGAGCGGCAGAAAGTGATGGTGAACGCGAGCAGACGAAAATATTCTGGCAGTAAATGTACTGTGTCGGTTACAGTGTGTTAGCTTATCAAGACCAAGAGAAGTGTAGTCTGTTTCCCCACCTGCTGGAAAAGTGAAGCCTGTTAGCGCTAGCTAACATCTCTCCTCCCCTTCAGACTGCACAGCAGAGCAGAACGCTTATTCAGCAGGCTACGTCTTCTGGCTGCTATGTAACTGAACATTAGCTCAATTTATCGAAAGTAACCGGTAGCTTTATTTTATCTACTTGTCCAATGTTGAGAAAATCAGTTAGTTTGGGAATAAACTGGCTTAGCCTACAGCTCTGTCGTGTAGCCTACAGACGGGTATCTTAAATTATTTTTCAGTTTTGTAGTTCCTTCCCAGTAGACTGATCTTTGAATGTTGGTTATTTATTATCTGCTCTAGCTTTTCCAACTATTTGTTCAGAGATATGGTGAAAATAATGGCCCAATATGATGTAACATTACATATTTTTCATTGGAAAACCTAAAAAATGTTCTTGGGGGAGGACCCCCAAACCCTCTGTCCACGACCACCACCACCATCAACACCAAAACATTAATCTAAAGCTCACACAAAACTATGAGGAAAAACTGAAAGTTTAACCTACTCTAATGTGCATTGCATACTGATGGACACAAGAGCAATGTTGCTGAGACATGTTGTGTTGGGGATTTATATTCAGACAAAAATTTTCTCTATTTTCATATTGTCTGATCATGGCTACTTGAGATCACCGAGGCGGAGTTGTTACGTTGCAGCATGCCAGTGAAATGCCAGCATCTTCCATGCTGGCAAAAGGCTTAATAACTTTAAGAGACACCACCAGAAACATCTGTAAATGCACAGTACAGTGTTTCCCACAGCCTCTGATTACGGATTACATTCGGATTACAAATTGCAAAATTACACAATGCCTCTCATTTAGCTATCAGTTTTTAATTTAAACTTTAGGTTGTTTAAGGCATGTGCTAATTAACAATCAAGACGATAAAATGAATACATCTTTTAATTAATGTTTCTGCTGAAGCAACAGAAAGTTCGGCTGAAATCAAGTTCTTTCATGGACTAAACAGGGAATATACAGTAAGAAATTTTTTTTAAGGGAGTGTGGGGCGGCCACCTCACGCATAGACAGGAGAACTGTTTTTTTTTTCTTTACAAAGTATAAACACGTCCGGTGTTGTCTAATCTTGTGCCCTCGGCAGGAACACATTGTCCAGTTGTAAACGTCGCCATTAGTGATGCATTGTTTATGATTGTAAAGTTAAAGCACATCTGCAATCTTAAACAGGACCGTAATGTTTTAGTATGTTTCAGTAACTTACAGTTATTTGTTTCAGTAACAGGATCTTTTCAGTAACTTAGTGATAGTTTTATTAAATTACATTATACAAAAACAACATTCCTGTTAACTTTAGCTAAAGTTACAGTAAATTTTTTAATGCAGCACTTCTTTGTAAGGCTTGATAAACAATAGAAGCTCTAGTGTACTAGACATTCTCTGGATCCCAGTTCGTATTTTGTATCCCACTATAACTTTTGCTAGGAAACAACAAACTTCTCCATATTCACCCCTGTTATTAGTCCTGATGTGAAGTATACCCAATATTAAATACTTGATAGTAGACCATCACCTGTGCTTTATAAAGGGGATACATATTTTGGCAGACTGCATGTCCAGCCTGGTAGGACCAGTAGGCTACTGTTATCGCTTTTTGTGTATGAAAAGTGCTGTTTAAATGCAATGCATTATTAAATTGTTATGATAATAATTTACCCTTTAAGGAGGGGGATCCAAAGGCTA